GGCCGGATAGCTGCTCTCTGGAGGAAGTTGTCTTACATTTATTATTAATCACAATTCAGAAAGAGTTGTTCCCTATTTATTATTCATCATAAAACTGCTCTGGGCTCTTTCCCATCGCAGTGTAGCTGGAGGAGTGTTTGCATTCGCCGCAGGTGTGTGAGTGTGTGTGTGTGTGTGAGGGGACAACTCGAACTTTCGGCTCATCCGCAGTGACTCGAAGAGCACCCCGTCACATTCTGAACACACGTGGTCATTCATAGGCCCCTTATTTCCCTGATCTCCACACTCAAACCGACAGAAGATTGTTTCAGCTACAGAATAAATAATGTAAAAGTCAATTCACACAGATGTCTGTTTACAATCTCACAACTCTGACTTCCCCTCAGAGTTCCCTGTGTATATCTGTCAGGATTCAGCACATAGGAGAGCTCACTAGACTACTGAGATGTAGAAGGTTACGGCAAGACTGTGGATGAGACAGATGGCTAGAAACTTGTGCTTGAATCTTGCAGAGGAGACTAGACTCAGCAAACATGTTCCTGCAAGGGTCCATGCAGCCCACACCGACACCCAGGAGCCCTCACTAGCCCACACCGGCCCCCAGGAGCCCTCACTAGCCCACACTAGCCGCCAGGAGCACTCACTAGCCCACACTAGCCACCAGGAGCCCTTACTAGTCCACACTAGCCACCAGGAGCACTCACTAGTCCACACTAGCCACCAGGAGCACTCACTAGCCCACACTAGCCACCAGGAGCCCTTACTAGTCCACACTAGCCACCAGGAGGCCTAACTAGTCCACACTACCCACCAGGAGGCCTTACTAGTCCACACTAGCCACCAGGAGGCTTTACTAGTCCACACTAGCCACCAGGAGGCCTTACTAGTCCACACTAGCCACCAGGAGCCCTCACAAGCCCACACTAGCCACCAGGAGCCCTCACAAGCCCACACTAGCCCACCAGGAGGCCTTACTAGTCCACACTAGCCACCAGGAGGCCTTACTAGTCCACACTAGCCACCAGGAGACCTTATTAGTCCACACTAGCCACCAGGAGCCCTCACAGGCTCACAATAACCACCAAGAGGCCTTACTAGTCCACACTAGCCACCAGGAGCCCTTACTAGTCCACACTAGCCACCAGGAGCCCTCACAGGCCCACACTAACCACCAAGAGGCCTTACTAGTCCACACTAGCCACCAGGAGCCCTTACTAGTCCACACTAGCCACCAGGAGCCCTCACAGGCTCACAATAACCACCAAGAGGCCTTACTAGTCCACACTAGCCACCAGGAGCCCTTACTAGTCCACACTAGCCACCAGGAGCCCTCACAGGCCCACACTAACCACCAAGAGGCCTTACTAGTCCACACTAGCCCCCAGGAGCCCTTACTAGTCCACACTAGCCACCAGGAGGGCTTACTAGTCCACACTGGCCACCAGGAGCCCTCACAGGCCCACACTAACCACCAAGAGGCCTTACTAGTCCACACTAGCCACCAGGAGGGCTTACTAGTCCACACTGGCCACCAGGAGCCCTCACAAGCCCACACTAGCCACCAGGAGGTCTTACTAGTCCACACTAGCCACCAGGAGGCCTTACTAGTCCACACTAGCCACCAGGAGCCCTCACAAGCCCACACTAGCCACCAGGAGGCCTTACTAGTCCACACTAGCCACCAGGAGGCCTTACTAGTCCACACTAGCCACCAGGAGCCCTCACAAGCCCACACTAGCCACCAGGAGGCCTTACTAGTCCACACTAGCCACCAGGAGCCCTCACAAGCCCACACTAGCCACCAGGAGGCCTTACTAGTCCACACTACCCACCAGGAGGCCTTACTAGTCCACACTAGCCCACAAGGAGCCCTAACTAGTCTACACTAGCCCACCAGGAGCCCTCACTAGCCCACACTGGCCCAAGGAGCCCTCACTAACCCACACCAGTCCCCAGGAGCCCTTACTGGGCCACACTGGCCCCCAGGAGCCCTAACTAGCCCACACTAGCCACCAGGATCCCTCACTAACCCACATCAGTCCCCAGGAGCCCTTACTAGGCCACACTGGCCCCCAGGAGCCCTAACTAGCCCACACTAGCCACCAGGATCCCTCACTAGCCCACACTGGCCTCCAGGAGCCCTCACTAGTTCACACTGGTCCCCAGGAGCCCTCACTAGCCCACATTAGCCACCAGGAGCCCTCACTAGCTCACACTAGCCACCAGGAGCTTTCACTAGCCCACATCACCCTCCAGGAAGCCTAACTAACCACACAATGATCAGCCCCCAGGAGCCCTCACTAGCCCACATCCGCCCCCAAGAGCCCTCACCAGACCCCAGGAGCCCTCAGGAGGGCGTGCAGATTCCGTGTGGACCTTCCAATACTCACCACAACTTCTTCCGTCATCATTATATTTTACAGAAAAGCCTGAATGCTTTCACACATGTGATTTGCATGATGCAAGAGGCGATCTCTCTGTGATCGATACACATTTAGGATCAATCTACCAGTAAAAAATGTATTAATCTGAGGGTCACGTGTGTCCGGAATCATGGGTTGTGATCTGTCCGAATCACAGACCCCAGTGTGCCACTGTTATGCAGACAACACAACTATACATGCATTGCAAAACATGCTTCTCTTACGTAGAGTTTTGTCTTGTTTCTTGTTTAAATATCGCAAAACTCTTAAATGAAGAAGCATTTTCTAGACAAGTAGAAAATACAGTCTTTTAAAAAGAGAAATGAAGAGAGTTTGTATTTAAAACAAGCAAAATAACCTGCCAGTGTGGTCAAATAATCTTGTATTTCATTTGACGCTGATTATTTTGCTTGATCAACATGAATGCATTGTTCAGTGTGTGTTCGTGTTAGTAAATGCATCAGCTAATACAACCTTATTGTAAACCTAACAATTCTGCAGTTTTATATCTTGCAGTTTAGCTTTTAATTTGTTCAGAATTGTCTGAAACAATACGTAATTGTGAGATGAAGTCACAGTATATTCAGTAAATAAGCAGCCCCTGGACAATGTCCGAGCCCCACGAGCAGCTTGTTTCTGTTGAGACTGAATGGGTTACTGTGTGATTATGTAAATGCAGATGAAATAAACATATTCCAGCGTGTGTGTGTGTGTGTGTGTGTGTGTGTGTGTGTGTGTGTGTGTGTGGGTTCGGTCGGTCAGGCTGTGGGACTGCTGGAATCTGGTGTTTGTGTGTAGATCTGTGCTTTATTTATGTCACCACAGCAGCAGGTGTTCACACACAGATCTCACGTCTCATCATGAGCTCAGTCTGATGACAGAAACACATCCTGTAGTGTCCTCTAATTAATATGCATAATTAAATGAGGCCGTTTATTGCTCAGATGGGCTGTTATTCTGAGCTTTATGTCACTGTGCAGTGGTTAATATTTGGGTGTCACAAGTTGTTTAACAGATATTGCCCACACTTATCGACATGAAAATGACATGTTCAACTTAAATGAATGTCAATATTTAATACAGGGGTGGCACGGTGGCTCAGTGGTGTCTCACTGTGGCCTCACAGCAAGAAGGTCGCTGGTTTGACTCCAGGTTGGGTCAGTTGGTGTTACTGTGTGGAGTTTGCATGTTCTCCCCATGTTGGTCCAAAAACATGCAGCTTAAGTTACCTGACTAAATCAAATCAGCACCATGCTCCTAGTCAGTAGTTATCTCTTAAAAGTGATCACTATCTGTTCATTAGCTACTACAGCAGGGGAGTTCTCCACATCCACCGGAGCTCAAACTCCCCTCTCGCCCTGAACCCCCTGGCTCGAGGATGTTATGAGCTCAGGGCTCATAACAACTCTTGAAATACACTTAAAAAGTACAACAATTTTACTCCAGTATATCTAACAAAGTAAATGTCCCACTTCTGGAATTATGAGGACGTTGCTGATGTGCCGTTTCTCAAAAAGCTTATAGATCACACATAATGAGAGGAGTTTTTTTTTTTTTTTAGAAAGTAAAACTGCACCTTTACTGTGAGGCGTTGAGTTTAGGGTTGGGGAGAGGGGTGGAAAATAAAGTTTATACAGTATAAAAAAAACATAGAAACCTATGAATGTCCCCACAATTCACAAAAACAAACACCTGCATGTGTGTGTGTGCATGTTTGTGTTTGGTCTGTGTGAGTGTGTGCATGTGTTTGTGTGTACATCTCTGTGTGTGTGTGTGTGTGTGTGTGTGTGTGTGTGTGTGTGTGTGTGTGTGTGTGTGTGTGTGTGTGCATTTTCAACTCTGAAAACTGGACTGACAGAATTTCATCCACTAGAACTTCAGTGTTCAGCAGCCTAAGTTGTGTGTGTGCGTTTATGTGTGTGTGTGTGTGTGTGTGTGTGTGTGTGTGTGTGTGTGTGTGTGTGTGTGTGTGTGTGTGTGTGTGTGTGTTTGCTTGCATGTGTGCATGTGTGTGTTTGCATGTGTATGCGTTTGTGTCTGTTTATGCTTGTGTGTATGTGTGTGTGTGTGTGTGTGTGTGTGTTTGTGTGTGTGTGTGTGTGTATGTGTGTATATGTGTTCAGTAGAGCTGATCTGTGTGGGCCTGTGTGTGTGTGTGTGTGTGTGTGTGTGTGTTTGTGTTTGTGTGCGTGTGTGTGTGTGTATATATATATATATGTGTGTATATGTGTTCAATAGAGCTGATCTGTGTGTGTGTGTGTGTGTGTGTGTGTGTGTGTGTGTGTGTGTGTGTGTGTGTGTGTGTGTGTGTGCGCATTTTCAACTCTGAAAAGTGTTCAGCAGCCTAAAAAGTGTTCAGCAGCCTAAGTTGTGTGTGTGCGTTTATGTGTCTGTGTGTGTGTGTGTGTGTGTGTTTGCATGTGTGCATTTGTGCATGCATGTGTGTGTTTGCATGTGTATGAGTTTGTCTTTTTATGCTTGTGTGTGTGTGTGTGTGTGTGTGTGTGTGTGTGTGTGTGTGTGTGTGTGTTAGCTCAGCCTCAGTTCCAAAGTCCCAAGGGGAAGCCTGTGAACTGTGTGTGCGCGCGCGCGCGTGCGTGTGTTTATGACAGCTGCATCAGTCGCATTCGGACGCCTCGATCTCTCGTGTTTAATGAGCGCTAATGAACTCGATTAATGAAGAACACACACACGCGCCGGATGTGCTGCTGCTACAAGAAGAGAGTGTGTGTGTGTGAGTGTGTGTGAATCGTGCTGTTGATTCAGCAGCTCTTCCACCACTGCGCTGAGCTGTGCGTGCGTGCGTGCATGCGTGTGCGTGTGTGAGCATGATCGAGTGCATGTGTTCTCGTGATTCTGGAGTCTGGATGGCCGCTCGTGTGTGAGTCTGGCGGACACACCGCTGCATTTCCCCGCAGACGCCCGGACAGCGCGCCGCCAGGATGCCCGCGGAGGTGAGTGTTTTCCCGCAGCGTCCGCAGCTGCCGTCGCCTCTCTGGAGCTCTCCATGCGTCGAGTGTTTGCGCACACACATGTTTCAGGATGGCATGCACACACTGAGGATTGCTGCATGTGTGTGTGTGTGTGTGTGTGTGTGTGTGTGTGTGTGTTGGTACTGCAGTGTGTGTGTTTGACAGTGAGATTAACTCTGTGTGCTTGATGACGCGCTGCGCTGGATGCGGCGGGCGCTGCTGCCACTGCGGGCGGAAACACGCGCGCGTCGGGATGAAGTTTTCGTGATTCATGCGTCCCCGTTGTGTGTGCGCGCGTGCCCTTGAGCGGCTCTCTGACCGTGTGTTTGATGGAAACAGTGTGTGTGTGTGTGTTGATGGATGGATGGACACTGCACATGACGTAAGACGGGTTACAAAGCGCCTGAAAACATCAGTGCTGTAGTGAGGTGCAGTTTAGCTCTCCGGAACACACACACACACACACACACACACACACACACACACACACACACACACACACACACACACACAAACTGATGCTGCTGTTATGCTTCATGATGCTGCTCTTCTGCACGCTGCATTTGTGGATCCAGAGATGCATCATCCAGCAGAGCAGCATCCTGAAGCAGAGAGCAGCAGCAGCGTGTCAGGAGAAAAGTCATGTCGGGATGAAACAGAGTGTCATTTAGATGGACTCTAACAACAATGTTGGGTTGTTTTAGCCCAATGCTGGGTCAAATATGGACTAACCCAATAGCTGGGGAGGGAAAAAATCATTTTAATGTGACATAAAAAAATTGCCTGATTTGTCCATATTTGACCCAATATTAGGTTAAAACAACCCAGCATTTTTTTGAATATATTGTTCAATCAAAATGACAACAATGACTTTCATTTTTATTTTTTTTGCCCTAATTACTTCTTATTTCTCTTATAAATGAATGGGTTTGTTGTCATTCATTCATTTTCCTTCGGCTCAGTTCCTTTATTTATCAGGGGGTGCCACAGTGGAATGAACCGCCAATTTATCCAGCATATGTTTTACTCAGCAGATGCCCATCCAGCCGCAACACAGCACTGGGAAACATCCATACACACTCATTCATACTCATACACTATGGACAATTTAGCCTACCCCAGTGGTTCTTAAACTGTGGCCTCCTCCTAGTGGTATGCGGAGGAATCGCTTAATAATGAAAGAAACAATTAACATTTTTAATCCTTTGATACGTGCTATAGCATCAATGTGATCAGCGTTGGATGTTTTCTGAAGTGACGTCTAGGCAGGTTAGGGTAATTAGGCAAGTTTTTGTATAACGATGGTTTGTTCTGAAGATTATCGAAAAAAAAATTAGCTTAAAGGGGCTAATAATTTTGTCCCAAAAATGGGTTTTAAAAATTTTCAAACTGCTTTCATTCTAGCCGAAATAAAACAAATAAGACTTTCTCCAGAAGAAAAAATATTATCAGACATACTGTGAACATTTCCTTGCTCTGTTAAAAATAATTTGAGAAATATTTAAAAGAGAAAAAAAAATCAAAAGGGGGCGAATAATTCTGACTTATATGTCAAATTTAACACCACGTACACCATCGCAAACGGGCTTACACTGAGTAAACTAACATCGCTACTCATGAAAAGTATTGCTATTAACATGACGTATGCATATAATAAGGTACAGTATATGTCAAAAGCATCAGTGCAATATCAGACAGCACCCGTGAGAACAGCACAGTTATACCATTAACAGATTCACTCATGTCCAGCAGTGTGTGCAGGGCCGGTGAGCGCTCCGTGTATCTTTTGCTCACTCAGTTATGTTAGAAAATCTATTTTCTTGTGATAACAGGATTTCATTGAGACATATTTTCCTCACGCTTGCATATATATATTTTTGCTTGTTAGTTTGATTATTGTTGATTTTAAATGCAATAAATCTGTTTGTATAATACTTGTAGTAACGGTGCTTATAATTAGTGGGTGCGACTCAATTTTGTCTGATGCACCTACATTTTTAAAGTTAGGAGCACCGATGCTACCAAGCAAAACGGGTAATTTCAAACCCTGATATTATGATTAGAAATGTGTTGAAGAAATCTGCTCTGCTAAACAGAAATTGGGGAAAATATATACAGGAGGGTGAATAATTCTGCACTTAAATGTGTATAATTAATTAATTCATTATCCTTTAGCTTAGTCCCTTTATTAATCAGGGGTCAACACTACGGAATGAACCGCCAACTTATCCAGCACATTTTTAGGCAGCGGATGCCCTTCCAGCCGCAACCCAACACTGGGAAACACCCATACTAAGGTATATAAAACAATAGAAAAAAACACTATGGTTTATTCCTCATAAGAGCTGAAATCATCTTGCATCAGTGGATCCAGGCTTCAATACCGTTTTGCTCATAGCTGATCATTTTAGTGTATCCATAGCAACCAGCTGCATAGCAACACCCAAACACTATCAACACCAGCAAACCCGCAGTGAACAGAGAGAGAGAGAGAGTTAAAGGTGCAGTAGGTGATCTGCCTAAATGCTATCCTTTAGCATAATGTCTTCGAAAACACAGTCACTGGCCTGCCGTCCAAAGCCACGCCTCCTGAAATCACGAGCGCGCACTGTGAAGATAGCAGTAGACAACACACTAGATCAAGTCATTCACCTGTTAGAAAACTTTACAGTACTTTACAATACTACAATTCCCACTGAGTAACTGTTATATCAGCGCGCTTCAGTTGTGTAGCAGCAGAACTCGTCATCATGTGCAATATTTCATGCATGCAGGATCGCTGCTCTCACTCTCTCACATGCTGTCCTAAAGCCACTACTGTATGCTCAGTGTTTGGCCGGCGGCGTGCAGGAATTACACTCATCACTGAGCCATACTGACATGCTGTTTCACAGCCAATATTCAGAGTAGCGGTGAACAATATAAGGAGCGTCACAGGCTGGCATTGATTAAACATGAGCCAGTGTGACTGTAAAAGCAACTTCAGCTTCAGGTGTGTGTGCACTTGTGCATGTATGTGTGTGTTTGTGTATGTGTGTGCATTTGCATGTGTGTTTGTGCTTGGCATTTTTTTGTTTTATTGTGTGTGTGTGTGTGTGTGTGTTTATGATTGTTTTTGTTTGCACATGTGTGTGAGTTTGTGCGTGCATTTGTGCATGTGTGTGTGTGTGTGTTTGTGCGCATTTGTAAGTGTGTGTGCATTTGTGTGTGTGTGCATTTGTGTGTGTGTTTGTGCATGCATTTGTGTGTGTGCATTTGTAAGTGTGTGCGTTTGTGTGTGTTTGTGCATTCATTTGTTTGTGTGCATTTGTAAGTGTGTGTGCATTTATGTGTGTGTTTGTGCATGCATTTTTTGTGTGTATTTGTGTGTGTGCTTGTGCATGCATTTGTTTGTGCATTTGTAAGTGTGTGTGCATTTGTGTGTGTATGCATTTGTGTGTGTGTTTGTGCATGCATTTGTTTGTGTGCATTTGTAAGTGTGTGTGCATTTGTGTGTGTATGCATTTGTGTGTGTGTTTGTGCATGCATTTGTGTGTGTGCATTTATGTGTGTGTGCATTTGTTTGTGTGTGCATTTGTGTGTTTGTGCATGTGTTTGAGCATGTATGTGCTTTTGTCTGTTTATGCTTGTGTGTGTGCACTTGTGCATGTATGTGCGTGTTTGAGCATGTGTGTGCATTTGTATGTGTGCTTGTGCTTGCGTGCAATTATATATGTGTGTGTGTGTGTGTGTGTGTGTGATTTTATGTGTGTGTGCATGTGTGTGTCCTTGTGCATGTGTCTTTGTGTGTCTGTGCATGTGTATGTGTGTGTGTGTGCATTTGTGAGTTCATACATGTTTGCTTTGTGTGTGCGCACTTGTATATGTATGTGTTTGTGCACGTGTGTGTGTGTTTGCATGTGTGTTTGTGCTTGTCTGCATTTGTGTTTGTTTGTGTGTGTGTGTGTGTGTGTGTGTGTGTTTATGATTGTTTGTGTTTGTACATGTGTGAGTTTGTGTGTGAATTTGTGCATGTGTGTGTGCATTTGTGCATGTGTGTGTGTGTGTGTGTTTTTTGTGTTTGTTTGTGCATGTGTGTGTGTGTGTGTGTATTTGTGTGTGTGTTTGCAAATGCAATTTAGTGTGTGCATTTGTTTGTGTGTGTGTGTGTGTGTGTGTATTTGTGTGTTCATGCATGTGTTTGAGCATGTATGTGCTTTTGTTTGTTTATGCATGTGTGTGTGCGCATTTGTGCATGCATGTGTGTGTTTGTGCATGTGTGCGTTTGTATGTGTGTGTTTATGATTGTGTTTGTTTGTGCATGTGTGTGCGTTTGTATGTTTGTATGGGTTTGTATGCATTTGTACTTGTGTGTGCGGTCGTTTATGTGTGTTTGTGATTGTGTTATTATGTGTGTGTGTGTGTGTGTGTGTGTGTGTGTGTGTTAGTTTGAGTGTGCAATTATGCTTGTGCAATTGTTTTTGTGTGCGTGCGTGTGTGTGTGTTTGTGTGTGTGTGTGTGTGTGTGTGTGTGTGTGTGTGTGTGTGTGTGTGTGTGTGTGTGTGTGAGACTGACTGCTGGCCACAGACACACATCTTCAAACACTCAATCAGGCAGAGATGGTGGTTGTGCAGAGCTGTTGTGTTTCTGCATAGACGTGATCTCACCTGTTACATAGAGCCAGCAATACCTGCACGTCCACTCAGCTTGATTTCCACAGCGCTGAACACACTTCACACACACACACACACACACACACACACACACACACACACACACACACACACACAGCCTCTAAAGAACAGAAAATACCTCTCACAGACAGAAGACTCGTTATTCACATCAGCTCAGTTCAATAACTGTGTAAAGTTCATCAATTATGAAGAGAGTTTGCTTCAGATGTAAGCGGCTCTACAGACCATCATAACACTGTCAGCATTCAGCTCAGCTCAGCTCAGTTTAATGCATGCATGTCTGTTCGAGATCTACGGTGGCTGAGGGAGGTCAAGAAAACACATGCACCGTCTTCATAAGGTCATGCAGCAGCATCTTAATTGGGTTCAGGTCAGGGCTTTAACTAGGCCCCCACACAGCCCACTGTGAAAAAGTGTTTGCGCCCTAAACCTAAGTACTGGAACAATCATACTCATAATTCTCTCTTCATATAGCCGTAAGCCTATTACATACTCATAAAACACTGTGATATAGCCGGACTCGGGTCGTATCGCTTTCTCACTACAATCGATCCGCTCCAGAGTTTGTTTCAATCGAGCTGAGATCACCACATTCAGGTTCACCGATTGTTTTGGCGTGGACCTGAGCGCGATTGCTGGATTCACATATGCCAAACAAACCACGCTAACTGGACAAACGAGACGGGTTCCAAAACAAACGTCTAGGTGTGAAAGCACCCCCAATATAACCTAATAGAAACTAAACAGATGAGTTATAAAACAATTCACCCCCCCACAGTTGTCATGAAGGGTAGTATAAGCTGTATGAACCAAAACCATCTTTTGTAGCAGGCTGTAAACATGTGTTTATCAGCTGTAAAATTGGCCAGTTTAGCATTGCAGTCAGTGAACATCTGGAGTTACTGGAGCCTGCCCCTAAAGGCCAGTCAATGAATTGCAGTTTCTGTTACTTCTGTACTGGCTTCACGAGGGAGCGCGGTAGGTTGCCGCTTGGGTTTCACTCACTCAGAGGGTTTTAAAGAGGAAATGTTTTCACATGGACACAGCTTTTTAGTCTGAAATAGATTTAATCTGCTCTGAAAAACATATTTTACCTTATTTTAATATTAATACATCAATTAATCATTTTATAAAAGCTATTAAAAATGCATTGTTCTAGAGCAGTTGTAGGGAACCTATGGCTCGTGAGCCACATGTGGCTCTTTGACCAAAAACATGTGCCTCTCCAGCTGTCTTCTTTATTAATATTTTGCGATTTAAAAACTTATAACCGTCACTAGAAATCCAAAAGTGTCATATTGACAATATAGTTATAATTCCTATTTAGTGTAATTTTTTTACTTAATTTATAATAAAAGGACATTTCAACCAATCTGAGTGTGCAGCACTGTGGATAAACTTGAATCGCGACCCCAATAAAGGGCAAACAACTTACATTTCTATGGTAACATTTACATTTAGTCATTTAGCAGAAGCTTTTATCCAAAATGACTTACAAATGAGGACAAGGAAGCAATTTACACAACTATAAGAGCAACAATGAAGAAGTGCTGTAGGCAAGTTTCAGGTATGCAAAGAAAGTGTAAGAAGCAAAACAGTAGTATTTTTTTTAATGCAGTTAGTGGTGGAGTCAGAGAGGCAATTGCAGATTAGGAAGTGTAGTGGAGACTAAAAAGTTGAGTTTTAAGTTGTTTCTTGAAGACAGCGAGTGACTCTGCTGTTCTGATGCAGTTAGGGAGTTCATTCCACCAACTGGGCAGATTGAGCGTGAGCGTTCGCGAAAGTGATTTCTTCCCTCTTTGGGCTGGAACCACGAGGCGACGTTCATTCACAGAACGCAAGTTTCTGGAGGGCACATACATCTGCAGAAGTGAGAGCAGATAAGAAGGAGCAAAGCCAGAAGTCGCTTTGTAAGCAAACATCAGAGCTTTGAATTTAATGCGAGCAGCAACTGGCAGCCAGTGCAAACGGATGAGCAGCGGAGTGACATGTGCTCTTTTAGCTTCATTAAAGACCACTCGTGCTGCTGCTGTCTGAAGAGCTGAAGAGGTTTGATAGAGTTAGCTGGAGGCCCGGCTAGTAGAGTTGCAATAGTCCAGTCTGGAGAGAACAAGAGCTTGAACAAGATGAGCTGCATGTTCAGATAGGAAGGGTCGAACCTTTCTGATGTTATAGAGTGTGAATCTGCACGATCGAGCAGTTCTAGAGATGTGATTAGAGAAGTTTAGTTGGTCATCAATCGTTACTCCAAGGCTTTTTACTATAAGCTTGTGCACGTAAACTCAAAAATCATTCATAAATGGTGATGGCATAAAGAAAAAAAATTAATTGTCCTTTTTTAATTCATAGACTTATATTTCTTTATTTTTGAGTTGTGCATAGACATAAAGGTTTTGTTTAAACCTGTATTATATAAAGTAGTATCAGTGGCTCTTTAAAAAATACATTTGCAAAAAAATTCAGAAACGGCTCTTTGTCGAAAAAGCTTCCCGATCCCTGTTCTAGACAAATGTTATATCATATGAAATCTCGTTATCACAATACTTCACAACAATATTGTCGATTTTTCCAGTATCGTCCAGTCCCAGTGTGTGTTCTCTTTTGAAAATGTGTGTATGTCTCCTGAAGATGCATGCGTGTGTGTTGTCTCTTGAAGATGCATGCGTGTGTTTTAACTCCTGAAGATGCATGCGTGTGTGTTGTCTCTTGAAGATGCATGCGTGTTTGTTGTCTCTTGAAGATGCATGCGTGTGTGTTGTCTCCTGAAGATGCATGCGTGTGTGTTGTCTCTTGAAGAAGCATGTGTGTGTTTGTGTTGTGTTTACGAAGCTGCGCTCATATATAATTCAGCCCTGCTCTGGGAGGAAGTTCTGCTTATTTCTCTTCAGAGTGTTTGCAAGTTGCTGGATTGAGAATAATTGAGTGAAATTGCCCAGAGGTGATATATACATATATATACGCACACACAAACGGCAGTGTTTGATCAGAGGGCTGTGTGTGATCTGATGATGCTGTTTTATCTGCTGATCGGGACGCTGTGGTGAATGAGTGAGCTGGAGGACCCGCGTGATTCAGGCTCAGATCTGATGCTCTTCTCTGTTTCTTCTCTGTTCTCTTTCCTTTAATGCAAAAGAAACCGGACCCTGAGGAGCTGCCGACCCAACCCTCGTCTCCAGATAACCCAGAGCAGGAGATTGTTCAGGAGACGGCGGATTCTCCATCTTCAGATGCCGTCGCAGAGGCACATGTAGGTCGAGATTTCTCCGAGCTTGCATCTGCTTAGTATTATTATATAAAGCATCACTGGGTGTCATTATTAGGCATTTCAAAAAGGATTTGTGTCTTTAAATAATCTAGATTTGGAGGAAGAATGAGATTATCCTGATGTGCTCTTACATGAAGCATTCATAATAGATCATGCATGCTTTATAATAATGTCAATGAGAGATTACTGTGGAGAGTCATGAGGTGGTGTGTGGAAGATTATTCTAGTAAGCCAAAACTAAGGCTAAAACTATTGGTCAAAATATATTTGTGTGTGTGTGTGTGCAGACGGAGAGCTCTGGGATTGGCACAGAGAAATCGTCCAGTCCTGACAGCGAGTCGAACCCACTTAGCTCCAGCAGCTCTAATGAACAGGTCATTCCCAGCGTCCTGAAGGTAAATGATACACACACACACACACACACACACACACACACACACACACACACACACACACACACACACACACACACACACAAACACACACACACAACACTCATATAGTAACACTCATATAGTACTGAACAGATTGGTGTTTCTGTGTAGAGTTTGCATGTTCTCCCCGTGTTGGCGTGGGTTTCCTCCGGGTGCTCCGGTTTTCCCCACAGTCCAAACACATGCGCTATAGGGGAACTGATCAACTACACTGGCTGTAGTGTATGAGTGTGTATGTGAATGAGTGTCTATGGGTGTTTCCCAGTGCTGGGTTGCAGCTGGAAGGGAATCTGCTGTGTAAAACATATGCTGGAATAGTTGACGGTTCCTTCCACTGTGGTGACCTCTGATAAATAAGGGACTAAGCTGAAGGAAAATGAATGAATGACTAAATGAATGGCCCAACTGACCCAGCCGGGACTCGAACAAGCAACCTTCTTGCTTCGAGCCCACAGTGCTAACCACTGCACCACCATGCTCTGTTCTAAGTGGAATATTTGAGGAAATCATATTCAAAATTTGAAGTTGATATCTCTAAAGAATAAGCTTTAAGTAGGATTTGTTTGGCCGCAGTACCAGACATGACCACTAGGTAATATTCAGTTTCCATTTGTGACCCTATGTAGGCGAACCCTATGTATTGAGGGCCACCATGCTGCCTTTATGACATTATTTACATTATATTAAGCCATACAAGTCTTAATACCCCATGTAAGGGGCACACATTGGCACATCCATGGCTACTTCATAGCTTGACACACTGCCCACTAGGCCTGGGGTTTTCAAACTTTTCCAGCCCGCAACCCCAAATTAGTGACTCACGAGACTAGTAGGCACAGTGTTTAACAGCTTTTAACAATGTTAGACCCAATCCCAATTGTACCCCTTAGCTCTTCCTCTTACCCCTATCCAATGCTTAAATTGTGAATTGCAAGATCCCCGAAACCGATCGGGGTAATGGATCCGGCATGTTTCCAGAAAATGGAGAGGTGTTGCGCATGAAAGTTGGGGGGGTGGAGGTCTCGCAGACGACAGTGAAGAGAGTTGGGGAGTCACGGAAGAAAGCTAAAGTGAACAGCTGATAGGAGGAGGCCGGTTGGGGTGGGGGATCGGTAAAATGAGGTGCCGGATCAGATTTCAGAGGTGCCGGGTCCGACATGTATAGACACAAATTAGGCCCTGCCCCTACCCATTGTTTTGTTCATTCACGTGAACGGGAAGGGGTGTCCCAATTCTCCTTAGGTGTAGGGCTAAAGGGAAGGGCTAGATACCCCTTGAAACAGAGATTTTTCAGGACCACACTTGAAACCAACGGGTACGAAAATTTCCCAGAATACACCATCCACAGCAGCAGCATGGCTGCACACAGAAATGAAGAGATCAACAAATTACTATCATTAGTATCAATTTTTACGACAAACAAGCACATGTTTAATATATTCATAACCACATTCGTGTTTTACCGTCATGCCTTCCTGATAATGTCTGAGGCGTCAAAACTAGATTAAGACCTATCCTATCATTAAAGTATACACACAGTGCACCACATAACTGTAGAAGCATGTTGAAGAGATGCACTGCAGTGTTTTTTTTTACATCAAGTTTTTGTTTTGTTTTCTTTCTAGTTTAATGTTTAATAAGACTAAATAGTCTCGCTTCTGTTTATCTAACCAACCTTTTGTCTCAGAACAATCCAACTCACTGTTTAACATTTTAAAGCTCAGGTCGTATGATAGTACCCAGATTAGAAAAGTCCACTAAAGGAGGTTGAGCCTTCTTATATATGGCTCCTAAACACTGGATTAGCCTTCCTGATAATGTATGTGGCTTCAAAACTAGAATAAAGACCCTTTAAAATCATTCATTCATTTTCTTGTCGGCTTAGTTCCTTTATTAATCCGGGGTCACCACAGCGGAATGAACCGCCAACTTATCCAGCAAGATTTTACGCAGCGGATGCCCTTCCAGCTGCAACCCATCCCTGGGAAACATCCATACACACATTCACACACACTCATACACTACGGACAATTTAGCCTACCCAATTCACATGTACCGCATGTGTTTGGACTTTAGGGGATCCGGAGCTCCCAGAGAAAACCCACGCGAACGCAGGCAGACAATGCAAACTTCACACAGAAATGCCAAGTGAGCCGAGGCTCAAACCAGCGACCTTCTTGCTGTGAAGCAACAGCACTACCTACTGCGCCACTGCTTTACCCCAACATTAAATTAAAAAACGCTGAATTCCGCGATCTATAATCCAGAATAATAACTCCTGTATAGTCGTCCCACAACATCCTGACACTCGATGACACTGGAATCCCCTGTCAGAAAAGTCTAGTGGCTGTGAATGCCCTTTTTACAGTATCTTCTATAGTGTTAGTGTTGTTTTTGGTGTGTTTACATAGATCAGGGGTCACCAATCTCGTTCCTGGAGGGCCGGTGTCTCTGCAGGGTTTAGCTCCAACTTGCCTCAACACACCTGCCTGGGTGTTTCAAGTACACCTAGCTTGATTAGCTTGTTCAGGTGTGTTTGATTAGGGTCGGAGCTAAAATCTGCAGGACACCGGACCCTCCAGGAACAAGTTTGGTGACCCCTGACACAGATGAATATGGCCACTGTGTAAATACACACATCAGTCACGATCATCGGTCTCATGTGTAGTACGAGCTCGCGATAACATATGATGATGCTGTAGTGCTGTCCCATTATTTAGGGGTAAATGTCGATGCCCTTCCCCTTTCAAGGGCCAAAGGGAAGGGAAAGGATCTTTTGGAGAGGCGTTTAAAGATGGCCGCAGAGTGAAATGACTTACCTTAAGGGGACTTGGCTAAATGCGCTGACCTCTGTGTTTTTCTTTCTCCATCTACAGGAGAGTTCATGTGAAGAGTTGGACGACTCTCAGACATCATCTCCAGATGATCAGTGTGTAAATCAAGCAGAAGCTCCTGATGGATCTCCTGAAACGGAGGATCTTCCTCCTCATCCTGAACCCAGCTTGACGTCTGACCCTGCAAAGGAAGATCTTAAGGACCCGCTGGCTCTCTACAGTACACTACCAGCTCACAGCATGACCCTGCTGCACGGATTAACCTACCATCCATCCTTTCCCACCAGAAACTATATACCAGAGAACTGCTACACGCTGCCGCTGCACCGGGACAGCTTTCCAAACCGGAAATCGGAGCAGGATGTCTCCGCAGTCAGCCATCCCGTCCATCACATCCGGCCGACTCTGGATCTGTCAGCAGATGATCACCTGGCACCGCTGCAGCACGCGTATTTCCAAGACCTCTACCGGACACTCATCCCGCAGAAACGCGCCAGCATGGTCAGCCTGGACACCATCCGGAAGGACCCACGCTGGAGGGACCCAAACCTGCGGGAGGTCATCGCCATGCTGAGCCACCCCATGGACCCGGTGAAGTCTAACGCCGCCGCGTACCTGCAGCACCTCTGCTACGAGAACGATAAAGTCAAGCAGGACGTCCGGCAGCTGCGCGGGATCCCCGTCCTGGTGGGGCTCCTGGATCACCCCAAACCCGAGGTGCACCGTAAGGCCTGCGGAGCGCTCCGAAACATCTCCTTCGGCAGAGACAACTTCAACAAGGTGGCGATCAAGAACTCGGACGGCATCCCGGCGCTGCTGCGGCTGCTGAGGAAGTCCAATGACGTGGAAGTCCGAGAGCTGGTCACAGGTGAACACACCACTACACCAGCACCCAGCTTACTTTATACACTGTCAAAAATGGGGGATCCACATTTCGTGTGTATGGGTGTTTCCCAGTAATTGGATGCAGCTGGAATGGCATCTGTTGTATAAAACATATTCTGGAATAGCTATCGGTTCATTCCGCTGTGGTGACCCCTGATAAATGGGGGACTAAACCGAAGAAAAATAAATGAATGGACTTTGCAAATACTCTCTAAGTATACACAGTCTGCTTGTTTAATTTTCAGATGAGATATAAACAAACTACAGCCAGCTTCAGGTGTCAGAATATGAGTTAATTTATCTATGAAGTTGCATCAGTGTCAAAAAATCTATTCATCTTTTCCTCGTCTCCAGTTTGGGGATTGAGTTTTGCTGATGACCGTGTGAACGCCGCAGCCTTATTGGCGAAGCATCGCAGCAGAAACTACACAGATCACTGATTTCATCTCAAAGTGAACGTTTATGCAAAGCTCATTAAATTCACTCATTAATGAGAAGCTGCTGATCAGACGCAGAATGCTTTTAGATGGAAAATATGAGGATGCGACTTTGATTAAATAACGATTCTTCTGGGAATCTAGAATGTGAAAATATGCAGATTTTGAATGCATAAACAGAGATTATAATCAACTGCGTCCTCATGACCTGTGCAGTTATTAAAGGTCAAAGTGTAACTCTTCATGCAAAATGTTCATTCTTTTTCAAATGTTCCTGGCATTTTTAACTTTACACATATCCTTTGAAATGTTCTGGTGCTACAAAAATATCCTTCCTATTGTGATAGAAGGAGGTTTATCGTTTGCTCTTTTTTGAAGTGTGAAATGTAAAGTTTGTAATGTAAATTGTTTGTTTGCATTGAAGGTAGCGCTGTGCAAATAATCGAAACCAAATCGCAGTTTGAAACATTGCGATTAGTTATGCAATATGAAATATATATGAAGAGTTCAGATGCAGAACCCTGTACATCCATCAGAGCTCTTCTCTTGTAAATGAGCATTTTCTATCAGGCTCCTCTGAATACGTTCAGAAGTTTCCTTTTATATGTAAAGATGAGGTGATTAGCTGGTAAATAAAATACCTTTTTGTCATAAAAGTCACTTTAGGTAATACTTTGGTTTTTAAGAAGGGAGATTTTCTTCTGCGTCAAAACCAGCTGAATCCACGTCTGCTTTATAGCAAAAACCTCTAAATCCACCTACTGGAACACGACAAAGTAATTAGCTGAAAATCACTAAAGATGCACTTAGAAATTATTATACCAAACATTAAACACATTACACACACACCACCTGAAATTACAAATATATAAATCTGTCAAGTAAGTGGCGGTTCATCCCGCTGTGATAAACCAGGGAAACAGCACAAGGAAAACGAATGAATGAAATCTATCAAGTGCATTAATCAATAACAATAAAACTGACATTAATTCAGTCTGAACAATCTGCTGTCATGTCTGATATTTGGGATTTAGAGTTAATGTAAGTAGAGCAGTGTAAACATTGTAATTTAAGCTTGGCAGATTCAAATAATGCAGTGCAAAACATTGTGAAACATCAACATCTGTGCATTGTCTATTAATATGAAAAGCTTATCAGACATACAGGTATTATGAAGTAATAATGTACAGTTTTATACATTATATTTATCTTTTATAAAATAGCTCGCATTAGCACGTAAAACACAAGTTAAGTCTACTGGGCAGAAAGGGGATCTCTCTCAGATGCTTTCAGTAGCTGTCATTTATTCATTCTCACCATACTCAAGGTCTTGATCTCTTGTTTCTCCTCATAGCATCCTCGTGGGATAAATGAGCGGCATCTTAACTCTGTCTTTGGTGAAATGCAGTTGCTGTTTAATGTATAGTAAATCCGAGAAAATGGATTAAAAGTAGCGTTGCTGCGCAAAAACATGTTATGAATGCATGCTGCACTTCCCGCTGTACAGTGTGTTTTCTTTTCCTTATAGCGCTCAGAGTTTTGAGGTAAGGGACGTCTTCATTTGCCATTCACTGACAGCCTCATCCAGTTCATCAAACTCCGTCTTTTAAAATCGAAAGTGCCTAAATGATCTCATATTTGGGGGAATGGCGTTTAGCGACCTTTGCATCTGAACTCTTCATATGTAAACAAAAATAAGGAATAACATCTGAGGTGAAGTGCTTGAAAGCCAGTCCACAGATTATTAAACATGCTAGACTTTCTGCGATGGTGTCGTGAGGCATTGCAGACATGCTATCGGTTGTCGTGAGCTATGCCTTTTACACGAGAACAAACAACTGAATCTTGTCACGACGTCCATTTATCGTTTACGACTCCTCACGACACTCTACATTAAGGAAGTTGTGCCGGAATCGTGTGATCTGACCGGGGCTTTATAACTAGCCAATAGAGTGAGCACTCTTTCATTCTGCCCAATCAGAATTGCACAACTGAACTACGCCCACAATAAAAAAACAGCTTGACGCTTGAATTAAACCGTAAATCAAATCGCAATCGCAACATCCGTCAAAAAAATAAACCGCAATTAGGTATTTTCCACAAATTGCACAGCCCTAATTTAAGGACACCAATTTGACCCCTTTTCAAGATTTTATATAAATCTTTTGTGTGTGTAAAGTTTCAGCTCAAAGCACTCATCATAATATTTATTATAGCTTTCTGAAAATGGGAAATTTGAGCTGTTAAGACGCTGTAGCTGTTTATGTTGCCTGTGCCTTTAATGCAAATGAGCTGGTTCTCTCCGCCCACCATTCCCACGTGCATGTCAGCGCCACAGAGATCTCTCAGTATTGCTCTGATGGGTGTAGCTCTCACCTACTGTGTCTTATGTAGATAAGCAGCACAGTGACAGACAAGAATGAAGCAGATCTCCTTTACTACAGTAAGAACTTTCCCAACTATTTGATGTATTCGATGTGGAGTTAATTCAAGCCTTTCTGCAATGATGAGTCACACACAATGTCATTATAAAGTTTGCGTGCATGCGCACACACACACACACACACACACACACACACACACACACACACACACACACACACACACACACACACGTGTTTAGCTTTGAGGGTTTTTGCACACAGATGTGGCAGGATACAGGTTAATATCCCCTGCTGTGTGGATATCCTTTATGCATGCCCTTGTTAATAAAATAAAAATCTCCCTCTGTCTCTCTCTCTCTCTCTGTCCTCTGTTTGTTCAGGAACGCTGTGGAATCTGTCGTCTCACGAGCCGCTGAAGATGATGGTCATTAATCACGGCCTGCAGACGCTTACGGACGAGATCATCATCCCGCACTCGGGTTTAAGAGGAGACCCCAATGATCCAGCCCGTCCCGGAGACCCAGAGTGGAACACCGTCTTCAAGAACACGTCTGGATGCCTCAGGTTCGGTCAGCACACGAGAGGATGATGTTTTAAAGGGAACCCTGGGAACAAACACTTCTATGCCTGAATGCAGTGTTTCCCAACCCTGTTCCTGAACGCACACCAACATTGTCAACCTCTCCCTGCTCAAACACACCCAAATCAACTCATCGGGACATTAGAAGAGACTCCAAAAGCTGAAGTCAATGGGTCAGATAAGGGAGACATCCAAAATGTGTACTGTTGGTGTGCCTGCAGGAACAGTGTTGGGGAAAAAAGATCAGCCGATCTAAAGGGTTAATGCTGAAAACTGATGATCAACAGTAAAAATGACGCATTGTCCCTCTTAATCCCGACAGGGAAAACCAGCAGCACTCAAGAATGCATGAGTATCTGCTGTCAGGTCTTTACAATCAATAAACGTGATTATAAAGGAAGTCAATAGGGTAAAAACAGCAGCAACATAACCAAAAGGGAGTCAATCTGAACAGCACACAAGGGTTAAAGAGCTTTATTTGGATTTCACAGAGACTTTTTTTCACAGATTTGATATGATGTGTGACGCTGTGTGTGTTTGCAGGAACGTGAGTTCAGACGGAGCCGAGGCGCGGCAGAGACTGCGGGAGTGTGACGGACTGGTGGACGCCCTGCTGCACGCGCTTTACTCTGCCGTCGCTAAAAGAGACATAAATAACAAAGTAAGAGTTTAAATAGAAATCCAGGTCACGGCACACCTGCACATCAGCTGACCCGCTCACATCTCAGCACAAAAACAGTAAATAACATTACCCATGTGAAAATAAGGCTTAGAGACAAAGCCCTCAGCTCATTTAAAGGGATAGTTCACCCAAAAATGAAATGTCAAACTAATGTCGAGAGGATCACGTCCTTATGATTGATCACAGCTGGTCCTGCATTATCCAATTCATGATTGACCAATCAGACGACTCCTAAGCCACTATAAACACCCCATCACAGCCGTCAAAACTGATCACTATTATTTACTCTCCCGCAGGTTTTTATAAATCAGGTTTCTTTCTTCTGTTGAACACTAAAGAAGAAAGTTTGAAGAAAGCTGACTTGCATAGTAGGAAATTACTGTAATGCACTGCATGTGGAGAGTAGCAGGTCAGCTAAAGCCCGTTTGCAAATGGTGCAAATCGATGCAGCACGCCAGTTAACTGGTACTCGCAAATATGACCACCTTTTCCCAGTATTAGCATCACTTCATTGGTTGCCAGTTCATTTTAGAAGACAGTTTCAAGAGTTCACCCTTAGCTGATGATTGATTATAAAGCGTGTTTGGCATGCTGTCCTGGGAGAGAGCCCTGAGCTCATAAGATCCTCAAGCCTGGGGCTCCCTCCGGTTTGCAGGGCGAGAGAGGGAGTTTGAGCTCAGGTAGATTTGGAGAACTCCTCTGTCATGGTGGCTAAAGAGCAGACAGTAGTTGCTCTTTAAAGAGATAAGTACTTGGTAGGAGCATGTCTATGGTGCTGATTTGGATTAGTCAATCAACTTAAGCTGCATGTTTTTGGACGGTGGGAGGAAACCGGGGAACCCGGAGGAAACCCAAGTGAGCACGGGGAGAACGTGTAAACTCCGCACAGAAACGTCAGCTGGCTTGGTAAAGACTAGAACCAGACTGTTTTCCTGCTGCGCCACCTTTACTCATCTCTCATCTGCATTGACTTCAGCGTTTCTCTTCTTTCCGCTTTACTCTTTTCATACTACCCTGATCAACATCATCACCAGCATGAGTTCTGCAGGAAGACCACATCTCCCATAATTCAACACTCAGACACAGATAGATCAAAATACCCCTTTGTTTGTTGTGAACACTCGCCCTCTAGTGGATGAAAATACACACTGCGTCTTTAACAAAGAGTGAGTGCATCTAATCACACAATGTGCGGATGTGAATCAGCTCATCAACCAAAATAGACTCAAATCTTAGTGGTTCAACACATGCTGCTGTGTATACTCAACATCTTCAAAATGACATGCTGTGCCTTTAATAATCTTATTTTCAACATCACGTTTTTTTGTGTATTTTGATGCTCCATTTAAGTATTAGTTGACTGTCTGCTTTATATCTGCTGATTCTGCTCCTTCAACAGACATTTAACTGACTATAAGAAACTTAGCTAGTACATGTCAACTTACACTAACCCGAACCCTAACAGTCTACTAATAATCTAATGAGGATTAATTGGCATGTAACTTAAATTCAACAAGTGGACCATCTAAATAAAGTGTGACTGTCATTTCTAATTTCCGAGATGCCAAGAAAAGTTTGCAAAGACATTACGGGCCCTATCATACACCCGGCGCAGTGTGGTGCAAGGCGAGGCGCAGTAGTCTTTTGGTAGTTTCAGCTTGGCGCAAGAGTGGTTTTGAGGCGTTGCGCTACGCTGTTTAAATAGTAAATGCATTAGCGCTCATATGTGCGCCCAAAGGCGTTCTGGTCTAAAAAGGAAGGCGTTCTGAGGCGGACCGCTGGCGCGTTGCTATTTTCAGAAACTATAATAGATTTTTCATTAGACCAAACCAAACCCGGTCTAAACTCCAGCGCAGAGTTGCGCCTCGCTTACACACTGCTTAATACACACAAGAGAGCAATAGGCAAATATCTTTACATATGAAAACATTTAAATATTAAGGATATATATAGGATATAATAAGAATAGATATAGGATATAAATATAAAGGATTAAAATATTACAAAACATATTATTTTCTAGCCTACATAAATATGAAAAATCACTGCTTTCATGTCTTCTTCATCTCGGGAGGCTTTTTCAGTTCATTCATAACAATTTGCTTTTGTATAATGTTATTATTATTAGCAGTATTATTTATTATATCCATATTTATATTTGTTTTATTAAAACAAGCTTAGATTTGCCCACCTGTCAGGTTTTAGACCATATGGGGCACAGCATGTGTTTTAGGATATCACTCAGGTTTTTCAGCACACTTCATTATTATTGTTCATTTATTAGTTTGCTGGAAATTAGAACTGAATTTAGAAATAGTTATGAAATGAATATTTGTGCTTAACAAATGCAATTAATTATTTATAGGCTAATTGATGTCTGTGCGTAAAGGTTTCCCTATCCAAGAGTGAAAGTGATCCATTATCTCTCATTCTCACGCAGTAGATGCTCTGTTTAACAGTTTTCTGTTAAAAACTGTGAACTGTTTACTTGTGAAATGCTCATTTTTTCCACTTAGACTTACTTTGCGTCCTGTAAATAGCGAATGCGCTCTTGGCGTGACGCAGCTGGCTCTTAAATGGAATGAGAGATGAGACTCTGATTGGTTAATTCTCAAAACACACCTATAACTCATTAAGAAAATAAACTCAACTCTTGTAGACCATGCGCCACGGCGCAAAGCAGGTTTTCCTGTCCTTAAATTAGCAAAAACGCGTTCTGACACGCCCTGAAAGCGTTTGCGCCCTGCGTTTTGCGCTCTGCGCATGGACCGTCAAAATAGAGCCCTGTAAAATTAAAACCAATTCAAACTAGTATGTAAAGCTGCAATCATGTCTGTGTATCTGTGTTTCTCATGTGTTTTTTTTGCAGTCGGTGGAGAACTGTGTCTGTATCTTGCGTAATCTCTCCTACCATGTGCACAAAGAGGTTCCCGGAGCTGAGAAATTCCACATCCAGGCGGCCAGTCACAATGCCAAACCAGCAGGACACCACAAGAAGGACAAGCCGGACTGTTTTGGCGGACGGACAACCAAAGGTTAGACATTCACTGAAACAACATCCAAACTGTTCAGAAGAAAAACAGACATTCGTCTTCATATGAGCTGTTCACATGGCACAAATGTTGGGGCGCAAGTTTAAATGGTAGGTGCTTTGCTACAGCATAGGTCTCAAACTCAATTCCTGGAGGGCCGCAGCTCTGCACAGTTTTGCACCCTGATCAAACACAGCTGCATTTACACTGCGTGGTTCAAGTGAATTTCCGATTTCCTCAATTCCGATTTTTTTCGGTCATGTGGCACAGATCAGATATGGCCCGTGTACGTGTAAGCAGGGACAAATCACATGGATTCCGATTTCAGTAATAACGGTAGACTAATTACCTCAGATAAACGCAGCGAACACAAACATAAACCCTGTATCAGAGCTGCAGCAAGGGTTTGTCAGTCTGTCATCCTCTGAGAGAACGGTTGATTGTGCAGCGCCACTCTATCAGATTCAAGAACTGTGAAGAGATGATGACCAAACACATCCACTAAACAAACAAATACACTTCTTGTCTATAGTCTTGTTGTGGATCCCGGGTGTAAGAGCAGCAGATGATAGCTTGACTTCTAGTTGAGCATTTAGAAAAGTGTCAGAAGGTGAATTTCTCTGATGAATCATCTCTTCCAATACTGCAGAAGACCTACTGGAACCAGCATGACCAAGATTCTCACAGAAATCAGTCAAGTTTGGTAATGGAGAAATCATGGTTTGGGGTTTATTCAGTGTGAGAGATCTGCAACATCAACAGCCTGAGGTATCAAGACATCTGTGCTGCCCATTACATTACAAACCACAGCAGAGGGACAATTCTCCAGCAGGATAGCGCTCCTGCTCATACTTCAGCCTCCACATCAAAGCTCCTGAAAGCAAAGAAGGCCCAGGATTGGCCAGCCCAGTCACCAGACATCAACATAATTGAGCTGATGAAGGAGGAGGCGTTAAAGATGAACACAAAGACTCTGGGAGTCCTGCTGAACGCTGTCTTTGCCATTCCAGATGACTTTATTAATCAGTGATGTGAGTCATGTCAGAGATGTATGGATGCAGTCCTCCAAGCTCATGATGGAGTCAGACACAATATTCATTCTGTCTCCACTGCAGCAGGACTTTATATTCTATACTGGACATTATTTCTGTTCAGTGATGAGACTTTAGTCTGAGCAGAGTCAGAACCTAACCCAGCGCTTTACAAATAAACTTCAATTGAATTGAATGGTTGCCTAGCAATGACAGACACCACAGGAGCATGAGCACAATGAATGTTGAAATTGGTAACGAAAGCAACATGCGGTCCAATAATATATCCTCATCATCACAGACAGCTCAGATTAGCGTCTAATAATTTAGGCAGCTTTGTGCTGCTGAAGTTCAGTAGTTCACGTTCGGCTCTATTCTGAGATGAAATGCCACTTTACCCATCGCATCAATTCTTAATGCGTCAAATCAAGTCTTGCCCTACATTTTTTGTTCCTATTGAATATTCTGCTTCACTCATGAGTGCATTACATTTTAAAGCAAATGGGTCACTCAAAAGTTTAGTGTTGTAGAGGTTTGTGATATTTTGGAAAGTAATCACTTCTGCTCACTAATGCTGCCTTTACTAGATCGAAAATAGAGTAATACAGTGAAATGTGGATGAACTGTTTCTGTGTAAATATATTGTAAAACATCATTCCTGTGATGTAAAGCTGAAGATGTTGGACACCTGGGGTTGCGGAATTTGCATGCCAGAAACTGCAGTACCTTAATGTGGTTCTTGAGCTCACAAAGTCATATTTTTATTGACCTCATTTCTTTCGGGGAACCATCCAAGCCCCATGAGTTCATATTGTCAATGACGGCAATAGTTTATGGCACTGACATACTCTGACACTGTAGGCTTTTAATGTCTACACTTACTCCTCACAGTTACATCACTAAAGGACATCATACATCCTAAAGGACTGACCTCGCCCTAAACAACTGATAGTCTCTCTCTAAATGACTGATAGCCTGCCCTAAAAGACTGATAGTCCCGCCCTAAAGGACTGATTGCCCCACCCTAAAGGACTGATAGCTCCGCCCTAAATGACTGATAGCCCTGCCCTAAAGGACTGACAGCTCCGCCCTAAATGACTGATAGTCCTGCCCTAAATGACTGATAGCCCCACCCTAAATGACTGATAGCTCCGCCCTAAATGACTGATAGCCCCACCCTAAAGGACTGACAGCTCCGCCCTAAATGACTGATAGCCCTGCCCTAAAGGACTCATAGCTCCGCCCTAAAGGACTGATAGCTCCGCCCTAAATGACTGCTAGCTCTGCCCTAAAGGATTGACAGCTCCGCCCTAAATGACTGATAGCCCTGCCCTAAAGGACTCATAGCTCTGCCCTAAATGACTCATAGCTCTGCCCTAAAAGACTGATAGCCCCATCCTAAATGACTGATAGCTCCGCCCTAAAGGATTGATACCCTTGCCTTAAAGGATTGATAGCTCCGCCCTAAATGACTGATAGCCCTGCCCTAAAGGACTGATAACCCAGCCCTAAAGGACTGATAGCTCCACCCTAAATGACTGAAAGCTCCGCCCTAAAGGATTGATAGGCCTGCCCTAAAAGACTGATAGCTCCACCCTAAATGACTGATAGCTCCGCCCTAAAGGATTGATAGCCCTGCCCTAAAGGACTGATAGCTCTGCCCTAAACAACTGATAGCCCCGCCCTAAAGGACTGATCGCCCCACCCTAAATGATTGATCGCTGTGCCCTAAAGGATTGATAGCCCTGCCCTAAAGGACTGATAGCTCCGCCCTAAACAACTGATAGCCCCGCCCTAAAGGACTGATAGCCCTGACCCCTGATAGTCCACTGTTTAAAGCAAGCACTACTACATACATTTCAAAATAAGAGAAATATTGTGATTTCCTGGTGACTGATCTTCGTGTGTGTGTGCGTGTGTGTGTGTGTGTGTGTGTGTGTGTGAGTGTGTGTGTGTGTGTGTGTGTGTGTGTGTGTGTGTGTGTGTGTGTGTGTGTGTGTGTGTGTGTGTGTATAATATTGTAACAGTTTCCAGATTGAACAGATGATCTATGTTTAAAATATCTAAATGAAAGCAGTGTGCAGTCATGTGTTGCCAGTCTTTCTCCTGTTGTGTTGTGATACTCGTGTGTCTGATGAAGGTTGTGTGTTTTGTGTGTTTCATGGCTGCGGCGCTGGTCTCTCCGCAGAGGAATGGTTCCATCAGTGTAAGTGCAGAATCTTCACACTCTTACCGCAGTTCATTCACACACTCTCAGTTATTCAGCGCTCCCACCTGACGCCCACCACCACTCCCACACACACATCAGCCTGTGGACAAACAAAACACAAGTAGTTTGACAGGTTGAGACGTTGCTGATGTCATGAACACACTTGTTTGTAGAGCAAGCAGTTGGACTGTGTTCTGCTGTTTGTTATTCCTAGTTATTTCTCCCACGGGCAGCTGAATAGCAAGTCCTAAAACAATTGCAGAGACAAGCGCTCTTCCGCTTCACAGAATAAGCTCAGTAGTCGTAGGTTTTCACTTTAAAACAGCACTTTAGACTGAAAATGCTTCTCGCTGGTTTATAAAAAGCTCTCCGTCCACACCATACAGCCTGAAACACGACACGTGACCATTCACACTCTCTGGACATGTACATATTTTATCAGGTCTGCTTTGACCCTGTGGTGAATACCTGCTATTATTCACACTCTGGACAAAATAACGTGTAGTTTAACAAGTTAAGATGCTGATGTGTTTGCTGTGATTCTTCAGGCAAAAGACACGGAGCTGTAGAGAAGAAGAGCGGCGGTGCTGATCTGCCCAAGAGGAGTCTGCCGATGAGAGGTGCCGTTGTGTTCATTTCAGCATCATTCATCATCCATGTCAAATCTAAAACACAACAAATACTGCTGGCACAATCATATAGAGGCACAAATTCATTATAGGAACCATCCGCCTGGTAAGACTGCATGTAGGGGCTTAATAAATGGTATTAATAAACACTCACAGTGCACCTGAAATTAATATGTAAAATAAAGATTGCAATATTTATATTCATGCCTAATATCAGATGGCCAGAAAGTGATCAGTTGTTCAAATGTAAAGTCAAGCCTGAAATTATTCACACCCCTGGCTAATTCTGACCTAAAATTCTCTGTTTAAATGTAAATAAAAGATGAGAAATATATTTTTTCCCACAATGATCCCTTATGTACATCCTCTTATTATCTTTTAACCCTGAAAAAAACTTGCTGGTTGAATAAAAGTAACTTTCAGTCAAAACTTGCCAGAGATATGGGACAATTTCGAATTTATTAATGTCCAAAATGATTCATGTCATGAGAAACATCTAACCCCACCCTAAAACACTAATAGCCCTGCCCTAAAACACTGATAGTACCACCTTAAATCACTGATAGCCCCACCCAAAAGGACTGATAGCCCTGCTGTAAAGAACTAATAGCCCCGCCCTAAAACACTGATACCCCACCTTAAAACACTGATGGCCCCACCCTAATCACTGATAGCCTCACCTTAAAAACTGATAGCCCCGCCCTAAAATACTGATAGTTCCACCTTAAAACACTGATAGCCCCACCCTAAATCACTGATAGCCCTGCTCTAAAGGACTAATAGCCCCGCCCTAAAACACTGATACCCTACCCTAAAACACTGATGGCCCCACCCTAATCACTGAAAGCCCCACCCTAAAACACTGATAATCCTGCCCTAAAGGACTGATCACCCTGTCCTAAAAACACTTATAGCCTTGCCCTAAAAGACTGATAGCCCCACCTAAAAACACTGATTGCCCCACCCAAAAACACTGATAGCCCCGCCCTCAAGGACTGATCATCCTGTCCAAAAACACTTATAGCCCCGCCCTAAAAGACTTGATATCCTCACCCTAAAACACTGATAGCCCTGCCCTAAAGGACTGATCACCCTGTCCTAAAAACACTTATAGCCCCGCCCTAAAAGACTGATAGCCCCACCTAAAAACACTGATAGCCCCACCTAAAAACACTGATTGCCCCACCCAAAAACACTGATAGCCCCGCCCTCAAGGACTGATCATCCTGTCCAAAAACACTTATAGCCCCGCCCTAAAAGACTTGATATCCTCACCCTAAAACACTGATAGCCCTGCCCTAAAGGATTGATCACCCTGTCCAAAAACACTAATAGCCCCGCCCTAAAGTGCTGATTGCCCTGCCCTAAAACACTGATTGCCCCACCCAAAAACACTGATAGCTCCACCCTAAAGGACTGATCACCCTGTCCTAAAACACTAATAGCCCCGCCCTAAAAGACTTGATATCCTCACCCAAAAACACTGATAGCCCCACCCTAAAACACTGATTGCCCCGCCCTAAAGGACTGATAGTCCATCCAGCCCCGTGATGCAATTTCTCACAACACATGCAAATACCATGGGACACAACGGAAATGTTTCAAGGGAATCCAAAAGCATGATGTATACCGATGGTTACAGATTTTGAACATTCTTCGAAATATCTTCTTTTGGTTTTGAACCAAAGAAAAAGAGTAAATGACATTTTTTGGGGTGAAGTGTCTCTTTAGCTGTTAAATATAGCCTCATTGCACGCTGTTAACATTGCCCTCATGTGTTCAGTCAATATTTAAGGCAGCTAGCTCCTTCATGTCGTCACAAAACTAATCGATGAAGTTAATTGAATTGTTTGAACAAATGTAAGTGGATTAAACCTAAAACAATTAAGTTGTCCCAAATATAAACCTCAGGACACGATTAGTGTTGGGAGCGCATGCAGGAATTGTGTGAGTCCTGCATGTTTTACAGTGTAGACCTGTTTGAGGAGCAGCAGGAGAGAATGAGGAGATGACACTCGTGATCATGATCAGACGTCTGTTATTATCATTACACTCATCAGTATGAGACGCCTCGTATTATTATTATTATTATGAGTGGACGAATGGACGTCTCGCTCTTTAATTTGAAGGTGATGAAGCGTCAGGATGAGGTGTTGTGAAAAGATGATGAACGTTAAAGCTCACTCTGCAGTGTGTGTGAGTGTGTGTGTGTGTGTGTGGTCATATGCTGCAGTGTGTGTGTTCATATGCTGCAGTGTGTGAACGTCACATTCAGAGCGGATCACTGTGTGCTTAAAGACCAGACGATTGTAATGTCATGTATCTGGGTCACCAAGTCTGAGGATGACAATATCAGCAAGGCATACTGCGAGTGTGTGTGTGTGTGTGTGTGTGTGTGTGTGCAAACATGACATTTTATCTCACGAGCTCTTACTGTTTGCACTTATAAAATGCAGCAACAGAATTAATAGTATTGTTCAGTGTAATGCACCCCCAAATCAGGAGACAACACAAAACAATAGGGGGAAAATAATGTTTCATTAATAAATATATCGATTATTTTACTATTGTATAGTAACTATATACTCACCGGCCACTTTATTAGGTTCACCTGTTTAACTGCTTGCTAACGCACATTTCTAATCAGCCAATCACATAGCAGCAACTCACTGCATTTCGGCGTGTAGACATGGTCAAGAGGATCTGCTGCAGGTCAAAGCGAGCATCAGAATGGGGAAGAAAGGGGATTTAAGAGACTTTGAACGTGGCATGGTTGTTGCTGCCAGACGGGCTGCTCTGAGTATTTCAGAAACTGCTGATCTACTGGGATTTTCACGCACAACCATCTCTAGGGTTTACAGAGAATGCTCTGACAAAGAGGAAATCTCCAGTGAGCGGCAGTTCTGTGGGTGCAAATGCCTTGTTGATGAGGTCAGAGGAGAATGGCCAGACTGGTTCCAGCTGATAGAAAGGCAACAGTAACTCAAATAAGCACTCGCTACAACCGAGCTCTGCAGAAGAGCATCTCTGAACACACAACACGTCCAACCTTGAGGCGGATGGGCTACAGCAGCAGAAGAGCACACCGGGTGCCGCTCCTGTCAGCTAAGAACAGGAAACTGAGGCTACAATTCACACAGACTCACCAAAACTGGACAATAGAAGATTGGAGAAACGTTGCTGCTCTGATGAGTCTCCATTTCTGCTGACACATTCAGATGCTCGGGGCAGAATTTGGCCTCAACATCATGAAAGCATGGATCATCCTGCCTTGTATCAGCGGTTCAGGCTGGTGGTGGTGGTGTAATGGTGTGGGGGAGATTTTCTTTGGCTCCATTAGTACCAATTGAGCATCAACGCCACAGCCTACCTGAGTATTGCTGCTGACCATGTCCATCCCTTTATGAGCACAGTGTCTCCATCTTCTGATGGCTACTTCCAGCAGGATAACGCAGCATGCCATAAAGCTCAATCATCTCAGACTGGTTTCTTGAACATGACGATGAGTTCACTGTACTCAAATGGCCTCCACAGTCACCAGAGCTCAATCCAATAGAGCAGCTTTGGGATGTGGTGGAACGGGAGATTGGCATCGTGGATGTGCAGCCGACTAATAAGTTTCAATATGGAGCTAAATCTCTGAGGAATATTTCCAGTACCAACCCGATACTAGTAAGGTGTACCTAATAAAGTGGCCGATGAGTGTATATCACAATGTGATGCATTTAAAAAAAAACAAAAATTTATTTTTAATCATTTTAGAGTCGTTAATTTGGAAAAATTACAATTTAGAGCTTTTATAAATACAAAGAAATTGATAAATGATGGAAAAATACACAGTATACATCAAGAAATCATCATTCTTGCAACACAATAGAGCATAAAAATATTGTATTGTGATGGCATGTAATGTCTTGTGATGTATAAAAATGAGTGACGTATTTTATAAAACAATTAAAAATCTGAGCATTTTTGTTGTAATGCTGGAAAAGATGATGGATTGGCAGCCCAGATGTAGCTGCATTACTCGACTGAGCCAAACGCTGCAGTGTGAGCTGAATCTCTGCTCTGGGTTTGACTCAGTGCACATGTTTATTTTAAGAGGAAGATCTGAAGATCATCTGATGTGTGTTTGTTAGTATGACAGACACGTTCTGACTCCCCGAAACACCTGATGGGACTGACTCTGGATCAGTGTCTCTTCTGCAGCTAGAACGACTCTAGAGAATCAATTAAAAGAATTGTGAGTCGTTTGCTTCAGGAGTGATTCTCATCATTATTCTCTCACACACACACACACACACACACACACACACACACACACACACTGCACTGCACTGCAACATTTGCCACACATTTCTAACAGCTTTCCAGTTTAAGTACTCATTCTTCAATCTTAAAGATCACATGACATCAAAGTAAAGTTGTGTAGATGTTAGTATCAGTGTTATTCATGTTTAGGATATCCAAACATTGACAAAATTTCCATTTAGAAGAAATAAAACTGATATAAACATGTAATGCTCGTAGTTCTTCTGCCCAAATGGATCAGCAGTTTTATTCACGTCACCTCATACTTCAGTTTCCTCATCAAATCACAACCAATCAAAAGCTCTCCAGTGTCTGACATGCCCCGCCCCCTTCAAGACGCTTCATATTTGGCAGACTGGCAGAGCTGTGAGAAAACAAACAGCTATTGGCTGTTTTTTTTTTTAAAGGGGAGGAGCTACATTATGTCCCGCTCTGTCTTTGTGTTTTAGTTGAGATTACATCAAATAAAAATGCATATTTCAAAGCATCTCACAGGAATTTTAAAGGTTCAAGTACTTTATTTTATTTAGTTTTGTTTTATTTTACTTTGTATTATTTTGTTTTGCTTTTATATTGTTTTATTTTTTGTTTTGTTTTATTTAGTTTTATTTTATTTAGTTTTATTTAATTTAATTTTGTTTTGTTTTTATTTCATTTTATTTTATTTTATTTTGTTTTTTATTTTGTTTTATTTTATTTTGTTTTGTTGAATATCATTTTATTTGTTTTGTTTTGTTTTGTTTTATTTTTTTGTTGAATATCATTTAATTTGTTTTATTTTATTTAGTTTTGTTTTATTTTACTTTGTATTATTTTGTTTTGCTTTTATATTGTTTTATTTTTTGTTTTGTTTTATTTAGTTTTATTTTATTTAGTTTTATTTAATTTAATTTTGTTTTGTTTTTATTTCATTTTATTTTATTTTATTTTATTTTGTTTTTTATTTTGTTTTATTTTATTTTGTTTTGTTGAATATCATTTTATTTGTTTTGTTTTATTTTGTTTTGTTTTATTTTTTTTGTTGAATATCATTTAATTTGTTTTATTTTATTTTGTTTTGTTTTATTTTTTTGTTGAATTTAATTTCATTTGTTTTATTTTTTATTTATTTATTTTTTGTATTTAATTGAATTTGTTTTATTTTATTTTATTTAGTTTTATTTTGTTTTATAACATTTTATTTAGTTTTATTTTATTTTATTTAGTTTTATTTTATTTAGTTTTATTTATTTATTTTTAATTTAATTTTATTTTATTTTATTTTATTTTATTTTATTTTATTTTATTTTATTTTATTTTAGGACACCCTGGAGGACTTTTTTTGCGATTTTTTTACAGATTTGTGTGTGTTGAGCATCAGTTAAGACACCGTCCACACCTGTAAACATTAACTGTGGGGAAAACTGGATCATTTTAAGCTTTCGTCAGCTAATTTCATCTTCCGGGTTAAAAATAATTATTGGGGTGGGATCAAAATCGGTAACGTAGCGTGATTTTGCTAGTGGAGAGATGAGTTCACTGTGCCCTCACAGCAAGAAGGTCACTGCTTCAAGCCTTTGCTGGGTCAGTTCTCATTTCTGTGTGGAGTTTGCATGTTTTCCCCGTGTTGGCGTGGGTTTCATCCGGGTGCTCCGGTTTCCCCCACAAACACATGCACTATAGGGGAATTGATCAACTACATTGGCCATAGTGTATGAGTGTGTATGGGTGTTTCCCAGTACTGGGTTGCGGATGGAAGGGCATCCGCTGTGTAAAACATATGCTGGAATTGTTCCAGCATGGTTCATTCCACTGTGGTGAGCAGCACAGAAAGAGCCGCAGAAACACACACTCTTACAGGATTTGACTCTGTTCTGCTGAATGATTGATGCTAATGGGTCTTCAGTGCTTCGTGTGTGTGTGTGTGTGTGTGTGCAGGACTGGAGCTCCTGTACCAGCCAGAGGTGGTGCGTCTCTACCTGTCGCTCCTCAAGCTGAGTCAGAACCACAACACACTGGAGGCGGCGGCTGGAGCTCTGCAGAACCTGTCAGCCGGACACTGGGCCGTGAGTTACACACACACATAAGCGCACACACATAAACACAGACTTATGCATGTGCACACACACACACACACATGCACATACTCATGCATACACACACAAGCACAAACATGCATGCACACTCACTCACACACACATGCAAAAACTCGCTCATACACACTAGCTCAGAAAACACACACACACACTCATTCATGCACTCACACACATATATGCAAACACTCAAATGCACACACAAACACGCACGCAAACACACTCATACAAACACACTCATGTATGCGGGCAAGCATACTCGCACTCTCTCTCTCACACACACACACATATGCAAAAACTCACACACCAGTTATATTGTGGGTACATTTTTCCTTAGACACACACACAGACACACACACACACATGCATGCATGCACTCGCACGCATACATGCACACACAGTTACATGCACACACAAACTTGCATGCAAACACACACTTTGCATGTGTGCAAGCACACTCACACACAGACTTTCTTTAACACACACACACACACACTTATGCATGCACACCGACACATTCATAAACACACTCACATGCACACACAAACTTGCACACAAACACACTCGCACAAACAAACACACAAACACTCATGCATGCGTGCAAGCACACTCACTCTCACACTTACCCACACACACATGCACAAACTCACTCACACACACCACTTGAAGTGTTTGCACATTTCAACCATTTTCCATAATTTTTTCCTTACACACACACACACACACACACACACACACACACACACACGCGCACACACACACACACACGTGCACACTTACGTGCACACACTCACACACTCATTCATTTGCGTGCACACACACACTCAAGTACACTCACTCTCTTGCACATGCAAACACACATACACACACACACAAATACACACGCTCACACACTCATGCATGCGTGCGTGCACACACACACTCAAGTACACTCACTCTCTTGCACATGCAAACACAAACACACACACACACACATACACGCGCTCACACACTCATGCATGCGTGCGTGCACACACACACACTCAAGTACACTCACTCTCTTGCACATGCAAACACAAACACACACACACACATACAATATTTCACATTTACACATTATTAAACACACGCAAGCACACACACAAGCACAAACCCACACACAAGCGCACACACACTCATGCATGTGCAGGCATATGCACACACACACACTCATGCATGCACAGCGCACACACGTGCCCACACACACTCATACTTCAGCAATGCTCATACTCTCCATTTCATTTGAGCTGCATTATTGTCACAGGTGTGCGATGTAAAGAGCTGCATTGTGAAAAGCGTGATCATTAAAGTCCAGCAGATGCAGATATTCAGACTTCGTGACGTATCCGCCGCTTGACACTGATCCCGTGTGAATAATGAGAGCATTAGCAGCGCAGCTTCCAGAAGTGTTTAAATACACTGCAGTGCAGCAGACGTCAACTGCGGCCTTACATAAGACGGCTTAGAGAGTGTCTGAGCAAGCTTAACTCATCATGAGAAACTCTTCAGAACACACACACGTTACATTTCAAGAGTTCACCCTTCGCTGAGGATTTATAATATCCTGTCCCGGGAGAGAGCTCTGAGCTCAAGGCATCCTCAAACCCAGGGCTCCCTCCTGGTGGCAGGGTGAGAGGGGAGATTGAGCTCAGGTAGATCTCAGAAACTCCCCTGCTGATGTGGATCAACAGAACAGCTTTAAGCAGGAAGAATACTGATGCTGGGAGCTAGACAGTAGTGCCCATTTGGCTTAGCCGGTTTACATACTGTATGATAAATGTGTTTGGACGGTGGGAAACCCACGCGGACACGGGAAGGACATGCAAACTCCACACAGAAACACCAACTGGCCCGGTGAGGACCAGAGCTGATGGTGTTCTTGCTGTGAGGCGACAGTGTTAACCATTGGCTGCCGTGCCACCCAATCTAGGTAAAGGGGGGAGGAGAAGGGGAGGAAAGGGGGTTTCTTCCAAACTAAGATGGTTGTGGAATGAAGCTGGGGTTATTTATAGTGACTCCTAGGCAGGGCCGGAGCAAGCTGAACTGCCGCTCTAGGCAAAGGACGATCACGCCGCCCTCAAACCGAAAGTGAAAACGAAATTGACCGGTTTTCAAAGTGAAGAACCCTATTCTGCCGCCCTAGGCGTGGGTATAACTGCGGACGCGAGTGCTGCGGGAGATGTTCGGATGTCGCCGTTTCTATTCTGCCGCCCTAGGCGCGGGTATAACTGCGGACACAGGTGGTGCGCGAGGTGTTCGGATGCCGCCCTAGGCGGGGGTATAACTGCGGAAGCGGGTAGTGCGGGAGGTGTTCGGATGTCGCCCTCTCTATTCTGCCGCCCTAGGCGCAGATATAACTGTGGAGTGTGGACGCAGGTGGTGCGCGAGGTGTTCGGATGCCGCCCTCTCTGCCGCCCTAGGCGCGGGTATAACTGCGGTCGCGGGTGGTGCGGGAGGTGTTCGGATGCCGCCCTCTCTATTCTACCGCCATAGGCGGCCGCCTAGGTCGCCTCTATGGACGCGCCGGCCCTGCTCATAGGAATCGTCTGATTGGAGGATCATGATTAGCAAATGCAGGACCGGCTGTGGTCAATCATAAGCACGTGATCCTCTTGAAATTAGTCTATAAATAAACCTCACTTAAAGGTGTTCAGTTTTGCCCTTTTTACAAGATGTAAAATAAGTCTTTGGTGTCTCCAGAATGTGTCTGGACAGCATACCCATCAGATTTTGTATTATACGCTGTTGACGAGGTCAATTTCGGGGTCAGAGGGAATTGTAGCTGTTTTGCGCCTGTGCCTTTAAATGCAAATGAGCTCTTTCTCTCCGCCCACTCTCGGGATATTTTGCTTCTGAGAAGAATAATCAGGGTGAGACTTCAGCACAGGAAACAGTGTTGATCAGACATGATGAAGCAGAACCCAGTCACAAATACTGCAGTAAGATGAATGAGCGCACACACAAATTACAACATTCACTGTGCGCACACACACACACACACACACACACACACACAAGCTCGCATTTAACATGCATATGTGACAGGATGCCCACCAACCAGGTGAATATTCTTCCTCAGAGAGATCATTATTGCTCAGTTACTGTACGAAATAAACCAGCTTTAATGTCCTCAAAGCGAGACTCCTGTCGTGTGATTGAAGCGTCCTCATTTGTAGTGGTGTTCACTATTCAACTGTGCTGATTCCAGCGGTTACGAATTACGCAGCTCAAAAGTATAGTTCAAGATGCTATTAAATACAGAGTGTAGCACTTACTGCTTCTTGAGGTTGATCCCTGAGAGCTGATCAGATCTTTTAATGCCAGTTTCTTTGCAAATCCTGTCTCATGGAGATGTTTATACCCATTACTATAGAGACATGTCAGTGGGCGGAGAAAACCGCACTCCTACATCACGCTGCGATCAGCCTCAAAATCACTGAGATTTGGGTCCTATTTAACATCAGGACATTAAAATAAGAGACCTGTTGTGTGTCTGCCGCTCCTGTATGACTATACTGTACTACACACACTTCTGTCCAAACAAGAGTTGATTATGCATCATAGGTGCTCTTTAAAGCCTCATGATTACACTTGTTGTTTCCTCAGTGGTCTAACTATATCCGGGCGACAGTGCGTAAGGAGAAGGGTCTGCCGGTGCTGGTGGAGCTGCTGCACTCGGATGCGGATAAAGTAGTGCGAGCTGTGGCCATCGCGCTCAGAAACCTGGCCATCGACCACAAGAACAAAGACCTGATCGGTAAGAGCAGCACTTTACTGTGGTGTTCTGCAGCAGAGCCTGTGCTGAGGCGGATCTGTGTCCTGCAGGGAGTTACGCCATGAGGGATCTGGTCAGCAACCTGCCCTGCGGCCAGCAGCGCCCCGCCAAAAACCTGGAGGGAGACACGGTAGTGGCCATCCTGAACACCATCCTGGAGATCATCTCCGAGAACCTGGAGAACGCCAGATTCCTCATCCAGGGACAGGGCATTCAGAAACTGGTGTCAATCAACAGAACAAGGTGACCACCTGGCAACAAACACCATAGCAACAACATACAACACTATAACACTATATACTACAGCCTAGCAACGCCACATCAATATGGTAAAATCCATTGAAAACACCTTGGCAACACCATAGCAACAACACAACACCCGACTAGTGCCAAACCAATATGGTAAAATACATTAAAAACACCATAGCAACACCATAGCAACAACACAACACCCCACTAGTGCCACAGCAATATGGTAAAATACATTGAAAACACCTTAGCAACACCATAGCAACAACACAACACCCGACCAGTGCCACAGCAACATGGTAAAATCTATTCAGAACACCTTAGCAACATTACAACAGCCTAGCAACGCCACATTAATATGGTAAAATACATTGAAAACACCTTAGCAACACCATAGCAACAACACAACACCTGACTAGTGCCACAGCAATATGGTAAAATCCATTGAAAACACCTTAGCAACACCATAGCAACAACACAACACCCGACCAATGCCATAGCAACATGTTAAACTCCATTGAAAATACCTTAGCAACACTAAAGCAACAACACAACACCCGACTAGTGCCACAGCAATATGGTAAAATTCATTGAAAACACCTTAGCAACACCATAGCAACAACGCTACACCTGACCAGTGCCATAACAACATTGTAAAATCCACTCAGAACAACATAGAAAGTGCATAGAAACTATTCTGACACCTTAGCATTGCTTTAGCAACATGCTAAAATTCAATCAGAATACATTAACAACAACGTAGCAACCAAACACAACAGCCTATCAACAACAAATCAACATAGTAAAATCCTTTCAGAACATCTTAGCAACCACATAACAACCACCCTGAATATCACAGCAATGCCATAACAACATTCTAAAATCCAATCTGATTACCATAGAAACTGCATAGCAACCACCCTGAAAACCCTAGCAACGCTATAGCAACATGGTAAACTCTACTCCGATCACCATAGCAACTACCCTGAAACCCCTAGCAACACTTTAATTGCATAGTAGAATTCACTCACATCACTGAAGCAACTACCCAGAACACAGCAATGCCATAGCGACATAATCAAATCCACTGTGAACACCTTAGCAACCACACAACATCCTACTAATGCCTCAGCAATATGGTGAAACACTTTCAGAACATGCTAGCAACATGAACAGCATAGTAACTGCCCAGCACCTGTGTTTGTCCAGCTGTAGCTGTAGTTTGATCGGTGTGTGTGTTACTGCTCATCAGGATGTGTGTGTGTGCTGTGATGAATGATGAGTGATGTTTATATGCTGTTGTGTGAATCAGCCAATCAGTGCGCGAGACCAAAGCGGCGTCACACATCCTGCAGGCGGTGTGGGCCTATAAAGACCTGCGACACACACTGCTGAAGGCCGGCTGGAACAAAACACACTTCAAGGTAACACCACATCAGCCCCATACCACACAACTAGAGGAGACCTGCTTCTGCCAGGTAAGAGAAAAAAATGTGAATTTTTAATGCGAAATTTAAAGTATGACTGTTCAAAATTTACTAATTAAAAATGTACTTACTAAATTGAAATTGACAAAAAAAAAATACAAATTATAACTAAAAAGTCTAAATGAGATAAAAGTCCAAATTTACTCGAAATTAACTTATTAAATCAAAATTCTAAAGGAAAAATTGGAAATTGTGACTTACTAATTTGAAATTGATTTTCTAAATCGAAATTATGACATAAAAATATTAAAATATAACTAACTAAATCGTGTTTGACTTTTACGAGATAGTCTAAATTATGAGATAAAAGTAAAAATTTCTAATTAAAATTAAAATTATTACATAAAAAGTATAAATTTTGTCTTTCTAAATTGAAATCATGAGATACTAAGTCAAATTTATGACATAAATAGTCAAATTTATGATGCACTAAATCAAACTTATGGCTTAAAAAGTCAGTTATGACATACAACGTAAAGATTTTGGCTTTCTAAATTCTAAATTATGAGATAAAAGTAAAAAAAAAATTACTTACCAAGTTGAAATTGACTTAATCAAAATTATGACGTAAAAATTCAAAATTATGATTTATTAATTTTAAATTGACTTTGCTAAATTCAAATTATGACTGTCGAAATTATGAGATAAAAAAGTGTAAATTACAACTTACCAACTTAAAATTTATTAACTAAATTTAAACTGTGACCATCGAAACAGATAAAAAGTTAAAATTATGACTTACTAATTCAAAATTGACTTACTAAATCAAAATTATGACATACAAATATAAAATTAGAACTTACTAAACTGCAATTGACTTGTTTGAAATTATGAGATAAAAGTCAAAATTATGACTTATTAAATTGAAAACACGACATGCTAAGTCGTAATGATAATAATTAATATTTAAATATATGAATAGTCAGACTTCTGATATACTACTGTACATTGAAGTTATGGTTTAAGAAATTGAAATTATGAGATAAAAATCAAAATTTTTACTTACTAAGTTGAAATTCCCTCACTAAATCAAAAGTATGATGTAAAAGGTCTAAATTATGACTTACTAAGTTGAGATTGATTTGCTAAATCGAAATTATGAGATAAAAATTCTAAATTATAAGATATAAGTACAAATTTTAACTTGCTAAGTTGAAATAGACTTACTACTTACTGTTTTCTCTTAGCTGGTGGAGTTGGGTATCCATTCAGCAGAGTTGAGTTTCTCCTCACATGATGAGTGTGAGTGTGTATCTGCCGTTTCAGTGAGTGTGTGTGTCTGCTGTTTCAGCCAGCCGTCTCCAGCCTGCCCAAAAAACTGAAGAACACCAAACAAGGGAACGATGACATCACACTGCCGCTGATGGAGAAGAACCAAGGTGAGAGAGGTGTGTGTGTAGTGTGTGTATGTGTGTGCGTGTCAGCCACTGATGCAGTGTGTGTGTGTGTGTGTTTCAGACGGATACTGCAGCGTGGATCAGCCAGAGAGAGCAGGAGACGCTCCCTGCCACATGATCGAACGAGAAACTTTTCAGGTCAGTCCGGGCGTGGTTCTGATCGCCGAGTGCGAGTACAGCCTAAAGCCAAAGATTACTGCATAACTCCAGCAGTGTGCCTACAGTAGACTCATAGACAATAGTGTCTGAGACTTTAAAGACACAGCACTTTGCATCCGGTGTGCCTTGGGCTTTTATAAGGAGCAGTTCTTCTCAGCCAGTCGTCTGTTTACAGCTCGTCAGAATGCAAAATGCAGGATATACAGATTAAAAACGTTCAGCACCACCCTGAAACAAACATATTTATATATATTATATATATTATTTATATATTTTGTTAGTTTAATGTGTATACATTTATTCATTCATTTTCTTGTCGGCTTAGTCCCTTTATTAATCCGGGGTCGCCACAGCGGAATGAACCGCCAACTTATCCAACACAAACCCAAACTTCTGATTCTAGGGGTATGTTCTTGGGTAATAAATGGGCATACAAACACATCTGCAGAGAATGTTTGCACTTACTTAAGACACATGTCCACACTATGAGGACATCAGAGAACAATTTAACTTACTGCATCAATGCAGGTGTCACGGTGGCTTAGTGGTTAGCACTGTGACCTCACAGCAAGAAGGTCACTGGTTTGACCCTCGGCTGGGTCAGTTGGTGTTTCTGTGTGGAGTTTGCATGTTCTTCCCATGTTGGCGTGGGTTTCCTCCGGGTGCTCCGGATTTCAGTCTAAACACATGTGCTATAGGGGAACTGATCAACTAAACTGGCCGTAGTGTATGAGTGTGTCTGGGTGTTTCCCAGTACTGGGTTGCAGCTGGAAGGGCATCCGCTGTGTAAAACATCGATTCATTCTAATGTGACGACTTTTGATAAATAAGAGACTAAGCCGAAGGAAAATGAATGAATGAATCAGAGCGGTATATGGCACCTTTAAGAAATGACTGCAGAACTTAAACACTGCTGGGATCTTATAGCAAAATAAAGTTATTTAAGACACTGTGTTTGTCTTTCAGGGTGTGAATGATAAGAGGCACTTCATCAGGACCAGCAGGCCGGCGGTGGGCTTAGTGGAGCGGACCCCTCAGCCGCTGGACTCCTGGGTCTGAACTGGTAAACACTGCAGATTCACCATTTCACCCTTCATCAGCCATAGAGGAGAACAAACACCACCGTGGCTTCTGCTACAGTTCTCTGATCAATATTTGTGCAAGTTTAACAGGAAGTCTCTCTTTTTAGCTTCTCATTATATGAAAACGCTGCTTTATTTGCAAATGTTTTAAGGCATATTTCAGTTTTGCGCGTAGATGTAATTCTCATCTTTGCATGTAAACACAGCTACTGACATAGACTGTTTCCACAGGCTGCAGATCCACATTGACAGACGCGACCAGCCTTCAGCACAATCAAACCAGAGAAAATCAGCAGATCATCATGTGTTCATCATCCACACCAACAGAAGCTGGAGGAACGGCGTCGAGATCGTCTGGAAGTGGACTTTGACTCTTTGCTGCTTTTGGCAATCTTCACTGTTAAACTCAAGATTCATGATGTGAGCAGTCGTCTGGAGATCTGATAATCCGCCATATTATGATCTTGTGTTGTTTCTATGCTTTCCTTTCCTTTGTTTTCTTTGTTGACGAGTCTCTAAAGTGTATAGTAAGTGTTCCGGATGTTTCTGTGATTAACCTCATGGACCATTTCAGTTCTCTGTCTTATGTTTTATGCACAAAAGAAATGATATCATGATATATGATGAATATGAGTAGATCATGGGGCTAAAATTCACATTAAAAAATACTGTAGTAACTTACGGTAAACACTGCAGTGTTTTTGAAGCGTACAGTAGTACAGTACAATTAATCTGGTGAGGCTACAATTTCAATGGTGATACAACTACTACAGTAGTACCCTCACTGGCCACTTTATTAGGTACACCTATCTAGCTGCTCATTAATGCAAATTTCTAATCAACCAATCACATGGCAGCAACTCCTAAATGCATTTAGGCATGTAGACATGGTCAAGAGGATCTGCTGCAGGTCAAAGCGAGTATCAGAATGGGGAAGAAAGGGGATTTAAGAGACTTTGAACATGGCATGGTTGTTGCTGCCAGACGGGCTGCTCTGAGTATTTCAGAAACTGCTGATCTACTGGGATTTTCGCGCACAACCATCTTTAGGGTTTACATAGAATGCTCCGACAAAGAGGAAAAATCCAGTGAGCGTTTCACTGTGCTCAAATGGCCTCCACAGTCACCAGAGCTCAATTCAATAAAGCAGTTTTGGGATGTGGTGGAACGGGAGATTGGCATCATGGATGTGCAGCCGACAAATCTGCAGCAACTGCGTGATGCTATCATGGAGCAAAATCTCTGAGGAATATTTCCAGTAGCTTGTTGAATCTCTGCCATCAAGTATTAAGACAGTTATAAGGGGTTCCCGGAACTAGTAAGGTGTACCTAATAAAGTGGCCAGTGAGTGTATAAACAAATAACCCAATAACTAATGCAGTTTTCTACAACTATAGGGTAAATTATACTACAATACATCACATTTAGTGTAGTAAAACTTAAATATACTACAGTATTATTGGTTGATTATAGTTAATCTACATTATACTGGAGCACAGTGTTGTAAACACTATAATACAGTATAATACACACCATTCAAAAACACTGGTAGCCTATTTACTATAAATTACTATGGTATTTTTTTAAATGTGGGACAGAAACTGCTAAAATTGTGCTTATATAGTCTATATCAGAGATTTTAATGGATTCATACTAAATTTGTTTCATAACATCGGTGATTTAATGGCTTGAGAAATACAAATCAACGAGTTTTATCTCTTCTTAATAAATCTATTTCGTCATGCATCTAACAGAGAATTAAATCAAATAAAAGTGAAATAAAACTTGTTTCCCGCTTCCTGGCGATTTTACTGCGCGAGGTGACTCGCTCGTCTGGTGTGAATCAAATGTTTGGATCTTTTAAACGAAAAGAGTCGATTCAAAAGATTCACTTGCGGCGCGTGTTTTAAAAGTGCATCATAATCGGTTACAGAATCGGCGAATCTTCCTATGCAGAGCTGCAGAAATGAGTGAGAATCATCCATTACAGATGGAGGAGATTGAAACCAGCCCGAGGAGAAGCACTACAGGTGTGTGAGAATCATTATTCACATCAGCATATATTAAAATAGACATAATGTGATTTCCAACTTTATATGATCAGCGCTCTCTAATAATGACTTCATGCACATCCAGTTACTGCTTTAATGTAATTTAACTCACTAATATATATATATATATATAGGCTATATAGAGAGCTCAGTCATTGAAGGTCGCTGGTTCGAGTCCCGACCAGTTGGCATTTCTGTGTGGAGTTTGCATGTTCTGCCCGTGTTGGCGTGGGTTTCCTCCGGATGCTCCGGTTTCCCCCACAGTCCAAACACATGCGCTATAAGGGAACTGATCCACTAAACTGGCTGTAGTGTATGAGTGTGCATGAGTGTATGGGTGTTTCCCAGTAATAGGTTGCGGCTCCACTGCATAAAACATATGCTGGTATAGTTAACGGTTCATTCCGCTGTGGCCACCCCAGATCAATAAAGAACTAAGCCGAATAGATGAATGAAGGTAGACATTGGTGTGGATCTGAAGACTTGTTTATGTGTTGCAGAATGTTTCTCTCCTGTTGTCTCCTCATCTCCTGCTGAACACACAGCTCTGAGCTCCACAGCGGCCCCGCAGACGCATGCTGCTCCACAAGAACCCCCCCGCAGAAACACCAGCATCCGCGCGGCTCATCCGGCCATTTACCTGAACACTAGCTCACACAAGCTCCTGCGGAAGGCAGTGCGCATCTGGAAGAGGCCGTTCCCCGTCTTCACCCCTCTGTCCTCAGTGTCGAGGGTCAGGAGTTTTCAGGAGCGGGTTCAGATGCTCCAGAGTCAGCCTGCAGTCTCCAGATCCCCGCAGCCCGTGTCCAGATGCGTCAGAGATCTGCAGCTGCGCAGTTCTGGGACGGATTCCTCCCCGTCGCCCTCCAGTAGGTCAGATCAGCCTCCGATCCGTCGCCGCAAGCGCCCGGCAGTTATACGCAGCTACAGATACCGCAGACAGATGCAGTTATACCGCATGCTGTCCAGCTGCAGGAGACTCAAGCAGGAGGAGCGGACAGTGCACACACTGCAGGTCAGAGATGTGACTGCTACACTGTCAAAATATCCTTAAATTAGTCTTCAGTATTTACAAACCACCTAGCAATGCCTTAGCAACCGCTTAACAAACCCTTAGAACACCCTAACAACACCTCTGAACACCTTAGAAACTGCCTAGCAATGCCTTAGAAACTGCCAAGCAACCACTCAGAACACATTGCAACTGCCTAACACTTTAGCGACCACTCAGAACACCCAAGCAACTACTTAGAAGACCCTAACAACAGCCTAACAACCACTCAAAACACCTTAGCAACTGCTTAGCAATCTTAACAACCTTAACAACCACCTAGCGACACCTTAGCAACCACCTACCAACTCCTCTGAACACCCTAGCAACACATTAGCAACCACTCAGAACACACTAGCAACTGGATAGCAACAATTTTGCAACTCCCTAGCAACCTCTAAAAACACATTAGCAACCGTCTAGCAACACCTTAGCAACCACATAGCAATCACTCAGAGCACCTTGTCAACCTCCTAGCAACACCTTAGCAACCACATAGCGATCACTTAGAACACCCTGTCCACCCCTAGCAACACCTTAGCAACCACTTTGAACACCCTAGCAACCACATAGCAACAATTCCATACACCCTAGCAACCACCTACCAATGCCTTAGCAATTGCCTAACAACCACTCAGAACACTAGCAACTGCTCAACAACATCTTAGCAACCACTCAGAACACCCTAGCAACTGCTAAGCAACCCCTCAAAACACCTTTGCAACCGCCTAACAAACACTCAGAACACACTAGCAACACTTTCGCAACTGCCTAGCAACCCCTCAGAACACTTTAGTAACCGCCTAGCAACACCTTTGCAACTGCCTCGCAACCCCTCAGAACACCTTAGCAATTACCTAGCAACACCTTAGCAACAACCAGTTTAGCAACCACATAGTGATCACTCAGAACACCCTGTCAGCCTCCTGGCAACACCTTAGCAACCACTTTACTTTTGTAGTTAATTCTATAATGAATGAATGAATTGTGTTTGTTCTGATCAGCCTTGATATATACAGGATCACTCTGATTGACATTCTCCATCTGCACGTGTCATCAGAGGGGAAAAGCCCCGCCCACTAGTGCCCACCTCTCCATCTCATTAGCATGTCCAGCAGCCCTGAGTGAGAAGCAGCCGTCTGTCCATTAGCCATTAGAGTGTTTGAGCTGTTTTAGTGTGTGCAAACAGTAGTCAGTGTGTGTCCTGATTCACGAGTGTCCTCTGTGCTGCTTTCCTCGTCTCACATCTCAGTTGTTTGTTTACAGGGTCAGTCGTCACCTGCGGGATCCTCTCCTGTTAAAGGTCAGTCTTGAATGCTGTTTTCATATATTTATCATCAGATGTGCAGGAATTATATGTATATGTATATGAGCTCTTATACAACAGGTGGTCAAACTCAGTTCCTGGATGTCCGCAGCTCTGCACAGTTTAGCTTTAACCCTGATTAAACACACCTGATCAATCTAATTGAGTCCCTTTGAAAGTTGATAGTGTGGTGACACCCCGATCTTTCAGAATTAGGGTGTCATATGCCAGGATGTCATAACTGAGGGGGCATTTTAATCCCTTAGACATTAGAGTTTGGACTGTTTATTATTACTTTGCATTACTGCCTAAGTTACTGACTTATATTTTTTTCTAGTAATAATAATAAATAAAAGTGGGCGTGGCTTGATTTTCCTTTTGCAAGCTGATTGGATGTAGCAAAGTAGGCGTGTCATTCAGATAGATGAGGGAAAGGGTTCAGGGAGAGTCATCGCAGCCTAACAGACTCCTCCTCCTCCTCACCATTTTTGTTTGATGTCAAAACTGACAGCTGGAGGGGCGTGGTTAAGTATGTTATCCCCGCCCAATACCTCAGACAGACCTAATCTGAGAATTTACCTGAAAGCAAACAGGGTGTGCGTTTGTAGATTTTAATTGAAGATTACAGGAGCAAACTGTTGTTTTGTTCTTAATGACTTGTTAATTTTAATATATATAATTGAATATATTAACTGAATTGGCAATGATTGAATTGTTCAATGTGAGCGAACAACATCAATATGGTTAGTTTTGATCTGATGTGTACTTTAACTCCGCGCAGGTTCTCAGGGTGCAGATGATGGGTCAGATTCAGAGTCTTCTCCAGTGATCCGTCCACCACCGAGGAAGACGAACCGTCGGCTGTGGCGCAGACAACTGGACAGCAGCAGCTCCGACAGCGGCCCGATCACCACTAATCCCTTTACCACAGGAGCAGACACACTGAAGAAAAACTCCAGCAGAGCGCTCTCAGATTTCGCAAGTGTGCTGAAAACCTCCCTGAGCTTGATCGGGAGCGATGTGAACTCCTCTGAGGTCGTCCCAAAGAAATCATCGACTACTCAAATGTATGAGGACTCAGACGAGCAACGGGAGAAGACCCCGAGCTCTTTCGTTTCTCGGCTGAAGATGTTCAAAGAGAAGCTCAGGCAGTGTGGAGAGGTCAGGACGTCCCCGGCGTGTGTGAAGTGGAAAAGTGTGCTTCTTCAGAGAGCTCTGCGCTCCCCTGCACTGTCCTGCGAGAGTCCGAGTCCTGAGACATCATGGTGCAGGTTTACACTGCTGGACTGCTCAACACCTGCAGGCCGGAGCGACACAGACACACCTCAGGTCAACACTGAAGGCCACAACAAGAACAGCATGGCAGGAGATTACTAGAACACTACAGGTATGCTGAAATGCTGAACTAGACTCTTTATCATGTGCGTGTCTTTACAGAAACGTATAAAGCCCACATTTACTGCAGCGATTTATGGTGAATACTTTATTTGAATAGTAAATACTATAGTAAATACTGTTTTTGAACCATACTCTAGGATTAATCTGCTGTTGTTCTATAGTTGCTATGGTAACATAATAACCATAGTAATACATTTTTGTAGTGGTTCTATAGTTGCTATGGTAACAACAACCATAGTAATTGATCTGTTGTGGTGATTCTACAGTTACTATGGCAACACATCAACCATAGTAATATAATCTGTTGTGGTTATTCTGCAATCGCTATGGTAACACCGCAACTACAGTAATTGGTCTGTTGTGGTGATTCTACAGTCGCTATAGTAACACCACAACCATAGTAATTGATCTGTTGTGGTGATTCTACAGTCGCTATAGTAACACCACAACCATAGTAATTGATCTGTTGTGGTGATTCTACAGTCGCTATAGTAACACCGCAACTACAGTAATTGATCTGTTGTGGTGATTCTACAGTTACTATGGCAACACATCAACCATAGTAATATAATCTGTTGTGGTGATTTCGCAATCGCTATGGTAACACCGCAACCATAGTAATTAATCTGTTGTGGTGATTCTACAGTTGCTGTGGTAACATAACTATAGTAATTAATCTGTTGTGGTGATTTTGTAGTTGCTTTGGTAACACAACAACTATAGTAACTGAACTATTGTGGTGATTCTACAGTTGCTATGGAAACACAACATCCATGGTAATTGATCTGTTGCATTAAGTCTGTTACGTCGGGGCGGCAGTTTCAATGCTTGACGGAGGGCGTGTCTGAAGGTGGGGCTGACCCGATGGCCATAGCAGCGTCAGTCAATGAAATTATTCCGCAGTCAGCTACTGTCTGAGGTGGGCTATTTGCATAAAGTGATCTGATTGGCTGATGCTTCCGTTGAAACTTGAAAAAATTGAAAAATTCCGCAGCGAACAACGCCGGCTGATCCACAGTTCAGTTCGGCAATGGTTTTAAAGAAAATACCATTAAGCTAAACAACAGTAATGTGTAGACCCACACGAAATCTGCACGCGCAGAAATCTATTAATAAATAAACTAATTTAATAAATAAATAATTTATTTAATTATTACATTTCTTTAAATTAATTTCACTAATATTATTATGATATAACAATAGTAATATTAAAATGTTGATATGATTTATGTACAATACAGCTTGTACAGTAAAGTAAAAATAAAAAACAGTAAACGTTAAAAAGCTGTTATTTTTTATTTCTTATTTTTAGTTTTTAGTTACGATACTCCTGAAATCATTCTGCATAAACCCGCAGACTTTTTACAAAATTCTCAGCAGAAATAGCAAAATAACGTCCGCAGATTCCGTCTGGCTAATGAGTCAAATGATGATGGTATTTTACGCATGCTGCATTATTTTGCATTACAATGGAATCTGTTTACTGTCAGTAGCACATTAGTTGTACATCATTTCAGTTTAAGGAAAATGAATTGAAGATGTGTGAAATGCCCCCGCAATTCTGCAGTCCGACATCACCACTGTATCTACAGTGCAGTAATCATCAAAGCAGATCATTAGAGTTGTGAATAAACTAGAGCAAACGGCGGATCTTGTGGATTACTACATCAAAGCCAGTGAAGATGTTTCTGTATGTCTGTTTCTGTTCCTCCTGCAGTCTTGATCTTCAGATTCCCGTGGATGAAGTGAACCAAGCAGACGATCAGGAGCTCAGTGTTGATTTCAGAACTAATCTCTGCACTCGGCTTGATGAAGTACTGCTGTTGTTTTAATCTGCCCTATTAAACTGGTATTTAATCAGCACTGACGTGAGCTTTCTCTCTGTAATTGTGGGGATTTACCACATGGTGGCAGTGTCACACAGTCAGTCAAAGATTCACGCTTTGCCTGATGATGTGACCTGAGAGCAAAACATTTCCCCCCACTGGACTCAGCTGTGAACGTGTTATTTCTGGAAGCCCTGAGTAGTTTGTTGTCGGCTTTGGTTAAGAAATAAAAAGATTGTTTTGATTAAAATGTTTTAAAGTCACATGATCAGATGGCTTTCTATATTTTATACTTGTTTTCTGCAAGCAGTCACAACTGCATGAAGCCTTAAGTAATTTTAAATATAGGGGAACTATATAGTCAAGGAATATTATTAAGAGCGATGCAGCAACCTTTTTATTTATCACCCTCACATAAGTGGATGCTCACATCTATACTGCACAATAGTTAGTGACACTATACGGCAATTATTAATATTTTACATTACTGTGAGGGTTGGGGTGGGGGTAGATGTTAATAAAATACACTTTAATGCAACATTTTATAACTATTATCAGTAACACTCTGCAAAAGTACTGTTTTTGATGCATAAATGTGCAGTTTACATGTGTTTGTTCCCTCATTACAAACACAGAAGGCAAATTCCACAACATATACACGTTAAACTAACACAAATACATTCAAACAGCCTTGTAAGGGTTGCAATGAATACATTTAAAGGGTGGGCCATTTATATGGATGCACCTTAATAAAATGGAAATGGTTGGTGATATCATTGTTCTGTTGGTGGCACATTAGTGTATGTGAGGGGGCAAACTTTTCAAGATGGGTGGTGACCATGGTAGCCATTATGAAGTCGGCCATCTTGGATCCAACTTTTGTTTTTTCAATAGGAAGAGGGTCATGTGACACATCAAACTTAATGAGAATTTCACAAGAAAAACAATGGTGTGCTTGGTTTTATCGTAACTTTATTGTTTTATGAGTTGTTTACAAGTTTCTGACCACTTGTGTTCAGTGTGCTGCCCATTGTGTTGGATTGTCAATGCAACCCTCTTCTCCCACTCCTCACACACTGATAGCAACACCGCAGGAGAAATGCCAGCACAGGCTTCCAGTATCCGTAGTTTCATGTGCTGCACATCTTGTATCTTCAACTTAAAAATATAGAGAGGAAAATTGTTGTAGCCAATCAAATGCAGCCTGTGGCATGCATATTAATCTCATGTGCAATGTAAAAGTCTCTGTTTTGTTCCAACTGGCCTGATGTTTCCACGTTTTTTGATACTCCTATTAGTCAGCTATGTCTATATTCTAATTTTGATCATATGGCGCTGTTAAGAGTTTAATCGCAGCAGGTACACAACCTGTGGAATGATTTTAATGTGTTTGTTTGCAGCACTGGCTATTTCAGCTCACAAATCAGAGCCCCGTCGGCCTGTGTTTGGTCTGAGGGACGGGTTTGTTCATCGGTAAAACCGCTGGGCATGTGGGCGGCATTTCTGCTGCTTTCTCTGCTTCATTAAACTGACAATTTAACCTCAGTAAAGCAGCTGATGGTCAATTATAGCAGCTCAAACCTACTTGACTCCACACCTTCAAAAGGTTGCCATGCTCTTTGTGCTAACGCTCTGCATTTAGATGTGATCATTATTTGAGAAATGGGCTTGAAGGAACAATTTATGGGTGAAAAAAGAAAAGAAAATCAGCAAGTCCAAAAGAGGACTGTGCGATCAGGTTTAACAACGTCTTGTTTTTGACACCCGAGACAGACGATATACTAGTTTTGGTCATGTAAGGTAATCACACAAAGCTATTTCTTTCTCTTTTGTATAGTGAGTAAAACGCTGCCTATAATCAAATCCAAATTTAAACTAAATCCAAGTAGCTTTGTGTGTACTTATAATAGTTACTCACTGACAAAAAAAGGTGACCTTTCAGTTTCCAGAGCACAAACGCTGATGTTTTCTGTATTCTGACGATCACTTAAAGTTGGAGAGCACTGGACAGAGGAGGAGATTGAAGTAAACAACACTGCTCTGGCAGAATTCACAGATACGGCAGGAATGATTTAGCAGAAATTGGATTGAGATTGATGCTTGTCTCTGAGCAATTTTTTATTGGAGACTTGAGCAAACAATCATGCAGTGGATGATTCATATTTGCACACTCCACAAATAAAAATACACAAGTGTCGAAGATAGTGATAATAAAACAGGAACATAACTATACACACAGCGCACACACATTTGAATTGTTTATTGTATCAATACTGTAGGTGTAATTGCAGGACTCGGATGTGTACTTTAATATAAAATGTCGGTATAACATTAAGCAAAAATGAAAGTTAGAACTGTTTCCATTAGCTGCAATTATTTTTATTTTATTGCTTTATTAAAATATAATTAGCAAAAATAAACATGAAAAAACATGAAACTTTTAGTGTTTTTTTAACCAAACTATAGTAAAGTATCTGAATTAATCTGTTGTGGTGATTCTACAGTTGCTATGGTAACACGACAATTATAGTAATTGATCTGTTGTGGTGATTCTACAGTTGCTATGGCAACACGACAATTATAGTAATTGATCTGTTGTGGTGATTCTACAGTTGCTATGGCAACACGACAATTATAGTAATTGATCTGTTGTGGTGATTCTACAGTTGCTATGGTAACACGACAACTATAGTAATATAATTTGTTGTGGTGATTCTACAGTTGCTATGGTGACACGACAACTGAAGTAATATAATCTGTTGTGGTGATTCTACAGTTGCTATGGTAACACGACAACTAAAGTAATATAATATGTTGTGGTGATTGTACAGTTGCTATGGTAACACGACAACTATAGTAATATAATCTGTTGTGGTGATTCTACAGATGCTATGGCAACACGACAACTATAGTTATATAATCTGTTGTAGTGATTCTACAGTTGCTATGGTAACACGACAACTATAGTAATATAATTTGTTGTGGTGATTCTACAGTTGCTATGGTGACACGACAACTGAAGTAATATAATCTGTTGTGGTGATTCTACAGTTGCTATGGTAACACGACAACTAAAGTAATATAATATGTTGTGGTGATTCTACAGTTGCTATGGTAACACGACAACTATAGTAATATAATTTGTTGTGGTGATTCTACAGTTGCTATGGCAACACAACAACTATAATTATATAATCTGTTGTAGTGATTCTACAGTTGCTATGGTAACACGACAACTATAGTAATATAATTTGTTGTGGTAATTCTACAGTTGCTATGGTAACACGACAACTGAAGTAATATAATCTGTTGTGGTGATTCTACAGTTGCTATGGCAACACGATAACTATAATAATATAAACAAATGAGCCCACACTGTAGTTTTCTACAACTATAGTGTATATTATACTACATTACATCACAGTTTATTGTAGTAAAAACTAAAATATACCACAGCATTTATCACTGTAGTTAATATTACAGTATGCTGCAGCATTTATTAATAAAGGGTTGTAAATACTAAGATATACTGTACATGATTGGTTCAGAACACTATAATATTAGCTATTGAATTTGAATATTGAATACTATATATTTTTAATGTGGGTGTCTATTTACTATTAATTGCCCCCTAGATAAACCTCTTGCCTCTTGTGTGATTAATATGGTTGTTTGCAAATCGATGTACAGCATTATCAAGAGCTGATATTAGACAAAGTAACACCTAAATGTTGATCTGCTGCTATCTCTTGCTTTCAGGCTGAGATGAACAGACTGGTGTAAAAAAAGTAAAAGTCTCTCCTGCTGTCTTTAAACCCTCTGGGATCTGAGCAGAGCAGCATCAAAATGTCAGCCAGCACAGCTGGGAAATTCAAGCCCAACATTTGACCAAGATAAGCAGAATAGAGCTCTAGAAGGAAGGAAAAAGGTGTTTACCAGTATTTTATTATGTGCAGACTCTTTGTGGAGCAAGCTGTTGACAGCGGTTATCACAGTGGTGCGTTACGCTCCTGCTCATGGAAATGATGAAAGTTGTGCTGCTGGACTGGAATAATCTTAGCAGCATGGTGGAAATAACACGTCTGATACAAAGACAAACAATTCACCTGCATTATAACAGTGGGGAGATCTTACATCTAAACAACTGTTGTTCATACAGGATTTTGGGGAGTTTATTAATGAACACAAATAAAGATAACACTGTACAAATAAAAAGTTGACTCAAATAATTGTAAGGCAACTTGCTGCACAGCTTTCTTTGAGTTTACTCAACTTTTAACCCAAGTACTAGTAGGTTTGATTAAGTTGAGGCAACTCAGAAAAGATTTGCAGTAAGTTGCCTTACACTTTGTCAAGTTGCCAATGTTTTTGTGTTTGGACTGTGGGGGAAACCGGAGCACCCGGAGAAAACCCACGCCAACACGGGGAGAGCATGCAAACTCCACACTGAAACATCAACTGAGCTAGCCAGGACTCAAACTAGCAACTTTCTTGCTGTTTGCCCCAAATATTGTTTACATTTGGTTTATTTTCCTGTTCAAATATGTTATAGTCTATTGCTTATGTTTTCTTTTGTAATCGGCTATACCCCAAAATGCATCTGAAAACAGACAGATGGAGGTAATTACTCAAATTATAATATCGATTATTAATATAAAATGAGTAATTTTAGATTAGTTGAATAATCGATAAATTACTCAACAGATTAATCCATATAAAAATATAGTTGGCAGCCCTAAAAGAAGCAAAAGGTGACATGTGCATGGATTTGCATGCTCTGAGACATCTTAAAGACCAGAATCAAGACATCAGTAGATGATTGTGAATCAGGTGATGAAAGCAGGTGTTGAAGACTCTCCCACATACAGGTGCTTCAATCACAAACGATTATCATTACACAGAAAAAACAGCTGCTAAAGTGACAGTGTGGGAAAATAACCTTACAATCATGCATTGTTATTATTACATGAGGTAGTCTACAACAGTGGTTCTCAAAGTGGGGGCGGGGACCCCCCTGGGGGGTCGCAGGACAATCAGAAGG